CTAGTCTAGCTAGTATTCTAATTATATTTATTTTAAAGAAAAGAGATAGTCTATATTTATATATTAATTACTAGAATCTAAATAAAATTATTATTAAGAACCGAATACTATTATTATTTATTAGTAAGACTATAAATGGACTTTATAGAATAAAGATATATATAAAGCTAGACTTAAAAAATACTTATTATTAATTATAAATACGAGAGAATAATAAATAAAAAATAGTATTTCGAATTTATTATAAATATTTTAAGTATTATATTATATTCTTTAGATTATCTAATATTCCGGTAATATTCTAGATATATATTAATTATATACTAATAGGCCTTATAAATATTATTTATATAGTCTATCTAAATAATATTCTGATTTATTTAAAGAACTTAGAATAATATATAATAATAGTCTAATATATACTCGAGTAATTATAATAATACTAGCTTTTTATAAACTTAGTAAAATACGAGTTTAATATAAAAAAAATAGAGTTTTTAGGGTTTATAATTAGCCCAGATAATATAAAAATAAAAGCTAGTATAATTATAGTTATTAGGAAATAGCCGGCTCTAAAGAATAATATTCGAGAAATCTAAATATTTCTGAATTTTATTAACTTTTATTAGAGATTTATTTATAAATATTTTAGAATAATAAAAGAATTAACTAATTTATTAAAAACTAGTAAAAACCTATAATATTATTTTAGCTAAATAAATAAGATAGATAAGGCTTTTAAGAAACTATAAATTATATTTATAATAGTACTAATTCTTTATTATTTTAATCTAGCCTTAAAAATTTATATAGAAATAAATATTTTAGGATTTATAATTATAAGTATAATTTCCTAGCTTTTTAATAAAAAGGCAGAAGCCAGATAGTATTCTATTGCCTTTTATTTAAAAAAGATAATTATAATTAAAAGTAAATATAAGATATATAATTCTAAGCTTTTAGCTATTATTCTAGTATTTTATATTTAGTAATATTATTTAATATATATCCGGTATATTATTATTATTATTAAAACAGATTATAATAATTTAAAATACTTTATAACTAAAAGAAAACTAAATAGTTAATAGATAAGATAAATAAAGAAGCTAGCTATTTTTGACTTTATTTTAGAATACTAGCCAGAATATAGTAATTTTACTAATAGGCTATTAAGAAGACTAGATTTTATAATAGATATAAATAAAGATACTTTATTATTTATACTTTATAATAAGCTATAGAATATAGAATAGAGAGCCTTATAAATAGTAGTAATAGAATATTATATTATTCCTGTAATATTATAATTTAAGACCTAGAAAAGAAGAAATAGGTATTTCTTAATTAGTAAGATATTAAGGAATTCCGAAAGAAAAGTTTATTTTAGTAATAAAGTAATACCAGAGATATTATTACCTGAGTCTATTACTAGTATAGCTAGTTATAAATAGTATATACTACGGATTCTAGCTATATAGGTAGCTGGGTCCGAAATAGTATATGAGAAAGATAAAGAAATATTACTTGAATTACTATTATAGTATTAAAGGCTCGATTTATTAATATAATACTAGTAATATAAATAGTTCTTAAAAGAAATCTTTACTAAAGCTATTAAGACTTAGAAACTTAATATATCTGAATTATTAAGATATTAGAGTATTATTTATATATTAAATAAGCCGGCTCTTAAAAAAGAATTATTATAAGCTAATTATAATAATTCTATAAATAGGTATTTTAGTACTAGTAAGATACTAGAGATTTTTTAGAGAAAGTATTTCTAGTAAAGTATAAAAAAGAATATAAAAAACTATATTAGAACTTGCCCTATATATTAATAAACTAAGATAAAAAGATATCTATTATATAATATATTTAGTTCGTTTTTTTTTTCCTTTAAGCTATAATAAGAAATTATTATAGACTTTATTATAGGACTATTTTTTTCTAGGTTTTATAATAAGATATATAATTCTATATTTATTATTATTAATAAATATATAAAAATAGTATAATATATTCTAATTACTAAAAAGATCTTAATTCTTAAGTTAGTAGAGCTATTTATATATTATATTATTAAAGACTTTAGTATATCTATAGGTATAACCTCTAATAAAGAATCTATTTTTATAAATAAGTTCTAGTTAAGTTTATATTTTTACTTAAAGATTTAATAATAACTAAGTATAGTATTTTATTTATAAACTAATAAATAAATAAAGAATCTAAATTAAACTCTAGAATAATACTTGAGGTATTATACTAGTTACTAGTAAAATAACTAGGTAATAAAGCTTATTTTTATAGAATTCATATATAATAACTTTATATATTTAATAATAGAAATTCCTTTATTTTATATATTATATGAATTCTATTCTAGTATTAAACTATATATTAAGAATAATATTTCAGAAAAAGAAGTACTAGTAATATAGAAAAGAATTTAAAGAATTTAAGTAAAACGGAAGATACTAAAGAAGTAATAGTAAGAAATAATAAATATATAGAAAAAGTACTATAATAAGAAATATATTAATAAGAAATTTAATATATATAATAAAGTTATATTTTATATAAAGAATATTTAATAGCTATAATCTAGTATAAAGCTAGTAAATAAATATCTTGGCTTTTTTAAAGTTCCAGAAATTATAGAAATATATAAATAAATATATTACTTGAAATTATTATTATTATATTAGATTTATAATATTTTTTATATTTCTTTCTTAGAACTATAGTACTTATAAGCTAGTACTATAGTAGAACCAGAACTAGTTAAAATCGAGAATAAAAAAGAATTCGAAATAGAATCTATTATAGTTTATAGAGAAAATAGAAAAGAAAAAAAGTATTTTATTTATTAGAAGAATTATTTACTAGTAAATAATATATAGGAATTACTAAATAATCTAAAGAATATAGCTTAAGAATTATAAGAATACTTAGAAAAGAGTAATATTATAATACTATTAGCTAAACGGAAATATAAAAGATAAATACTTTTATTAGAAAACTATTAAAAACTATATATTTATTCTTAGAAAAACTATATAAAAATTATTAAGAACTCTAAAAACTTTAATTTCTATATCCTATAAATACTTTATTTTTATAACTATTCTTTATTATTCTTATTATTATTCTTATTAGAATTCTCTTAAGAAATAGGTAATAAATTAGCCTATAAAGCTATTAATTATTAATAAGAAATAAGAAAGAAATAAACTTACTTAATATCGAAAAATATTAATTATATTATTAAGAGTACTTTATACTTATACTAAGCTAGTAAGAATTACTTAATTTATTTCTTAGATTATTAAAGGAATTTATTAGTCCCAAATAATAACTTTAATATAAGAAGTATATATTATTTAATATAGAAAAAGAATAGTAATAGTCTTTTTTCTTTTAGGTAAAGAATAGGAAAAATACTTATATATATTAATAGCTTAAAAAAGGCAGTTTAACTATATTATATATATTTGAGGAATCTTAAATAATATTAGAATAAGAAATAAATAAAAGAAATTATAACTTATAAGATTATATTTCTTATTCTTAGAGTAATAGTAATTATATATCAAGTAATTATTACTTTTAATATAAGTAAGATCAGGAAACTTAGTAATATTCTTAGAATATTAAAGATAATAAAAGTAAATTAAGGATATAAGAGTATTAGCTAAACGGGTAGTAATAGGCTAATAAGTACTAAAAGAAGTATTTATTTTAATAGATAAAGAAGTAGAAGAGGAAATTAGAAGAGAGCTTAAATAAAGCTTAAATAAAGCTTAAATAAAGCTTAAATAAAGCTTAAAGGAGCTTAAAGAAGCTTAAAGAAAGCTTAAAGAAGAAAGATAAGGAATAAGAAAGAGCTAGGTATAGTATTATAGTTGAGAAAAGGAAAGGTTAGTTAGTAGAAAAAGAGAGGCCTTTTTATAATATCCTTTCCTCAAATAGTAATTATAAATTCGGAACTGGCTTTATATTAGGAATATCTAGAAAATTCCAAAAAAGGAATTTATAAACGAACTAGAAGATCGGATTAACTTTTCCAAGTTCTTAGGCCTATAGAATAATAATTTATTCTAAATAGAGGCTAAGTTAGGATTTATAAACTAATTAGAAGACCGGAAGAGCTTCCTGTCTAATAGTATATACTATATCCGTACTATTTTTATAAGAAGGAATTACTAGAGGTAATTTGCGGGTTAGCTAGACAGGGTTAGTAAACTATATCCTTAAGTCTATTACCTGGCGTAATAATAGGGTAATTATAGGGAGTCTTTGGGAAGAACTAATAGCTAGAAAGGTTTTAGGGAATTATTTATAAAGCTATTTATAGTTCTCTCAGGCCTCTTAGGGACAAGGGCCTAGAGGGAGGGTTAATGTAATAGGTATACGTAATAGCATATAGACAGGTATTAGATATCGTGGATCTAGTTTCCTATTTTAGGTAAAGCTTATAATTAGAATTATACGGGCGATCGGAATTATACGGATCATATAGGATTGTGTTTCCTAGTTAAGTAAAGTGCTTTACAGGCTTGGCTAAGTACTAGGGAATATATAGGGAGACGCTTCTAGCTTTGGAAAGGGGTATTAATTAGTCTTTTGTTAGAATCAACTCTTGGAATTAGTTACACTTGCAAGCGTCACTCCGCAGCTTACTTACCTTGACTACTTGTGCATCACCCTGCTATTACGTGCCTCACATTTAGCTATTTCCCTCTGCTCTATCATTGAAGACACAAAGCACAAGGAAACCTATATGCAGAGTTTATCCAGACCAAAGGGGAGGTACACAAAACACTAAGCGAATTTATTACGATTACATAATGTCGTATTAAGAGGTCCCGCTAAGTTAGCCGTAACTTATATTCAAATTGCTTACTAATGCTTTCGAATCATTGGCGAGATTAGCGAAAGTAGCTGAAGATTCTCGAATGCATGTTCAATTCTTCCTTCTTCTAAGGCATCAAAAAACCCTGACTCGATTTTAGCCTCCCTAGAAAACCATGCCATTTCAAATTACTCCTATCCTTATTGCGTTTTTATGTCATCTCTTAGCAGCGGATGCATCTCCGCCTTGCTATTGGTCGGATGGGACCCTTGCGCCATCAACCATCCAACCATGCAACTCCAATCTCCCCGAGGGTTCCTATAGCGCCTGTTGCTCACTCGGACGTACTCCTCCAGACGTCTGCTTCAGCAGCGGACTCTGCTTAACGGGTAATTCTTACACCTCTAACGGCTTGATTTTCGCGAATGGATGTACGGATCCCACTGGCAAGGACCCTAGTTGCCAGCAATACTGTACAAGTGAGTTGGAGCTAGGTTCTACCAGCTTTACATGATAGGCTGAGTCCAAATGGAACAGATCGCTCGACTGAATTCTATATCCTCGATCCATGCGAAGATGGTCGGTGGTGCTGCCAAACGGATGGCGCTTTGTCAAGCTGCTGCAAGAACGGGCAAGGATCATTCACGCTGCTACCTGGGACAATTATGTTTCCTTCTGCAGCTACATCAGGTGGACAATCTCCCACGCAAATAACCACCTCCACACAAATCATCAGCACATGTTCAAGCTCGCCACTACCTTCACAGTGCCCTCAGGATAAAAGCACCATCGTGGGTGCTTCTGTCGGCGCCACTTTAGGCAGCGCATTTGTGGCATCCCTTCTAGCTATTTGGTTCATATTATGGCGCCAACGTAGGCACCAGTTACAAGCACAATTCCCCATTAGTGTCGCACCACAAGGAGCCTTAGGCCCCGCAGAGATGGACTCTGTCCCTGGTAAAGCATGACAATCTTCATTGACACAGAGATCACACCCTCCCGAAATCGACGGGCGGCAGATCATCGGGAATATTCCCGCTCTAACGTGAACATCATGAGGGGTGTGACTTTAGTTGAGGTTAACATGTGCTAGTCTGGCTTTGAAGTTGTCAACTTCAAGAATATGAAATGCTTCTCCTTGATGGAAACCGTTAGAACTTTATTATGGAATTCCTTTGGGCATTTGTTCTATTCGTGTCATGTTCAGTATTTAGTTCTCTAATTACTGCCTAGTATTTTCCACCTAAATACTCCGTTGATACCACAGTTATGCAATCAAGCAAGTGTCCACTTTTAAAGTTGACAAGTTGTGAAAGTTCGGAGCGATTTGTGAATGACATACAGTGCTGCCAGTTTATCTCGGCCGATTGGGTAAATAATTCTATCGATTTGCTATTAGAATTAGACGCTGGCGCTGATCTGGTGTTCGCTCTGACGGGTCACGCGTGCAGTTTAGGGCCTGTTTCGCACGGGCTCACGCAAGTTAGATACCGGATATTAGTAATATCGAACTCTAGCGTTTAATGCTCGATATTGAACGCTGGTATCGGTATAATTTAGACCCGTTTCTCAAGTCGTAGATACTTAGTATCCACTTGTAATTACGGGGTATATAAACTAATCTCCGCTAGCCTATTAAGCCTCTTCTTCAGCCCCCTAATCTCCCCCTTCTAATTAAAACCTCTTGATTTATTAATCGCTTCCTTCTTTTATAATTATTAAACTTAATTTAACCATGGTATATATACGGAAAACTACGAATACGAAAGCCCCAAATACTGTGACGGCTGGTGTCACATGGTTGGTTTCAGCCAAAGGGGTTGGTTTCAGCTAAGGTTCCAAGCTATGGTTCAAACCAAGCTCGCTTCCAAAGCTCGGCGTTTCAGTAGTCTTGGTCATTCCTACTTATCCACTGCCACACCTCACTCCTGTCCTCCTTAGCTTTAAATTCTTAAGACATTGGAAATCATTGATCTTTGAGCCTCGTTCCATTGCTCTGTTCCTGCCGTCACAAATACCGTCGAACTAACTAGCTTCTCCATAATCTGGCCAGATGAACTAGAGACTATACTAATTAATATTATGCGACGTTATATCGAGGGAGGGAAGCTAGCAGATAACATCTTCAAAAAGATCGATTTTATATCTATGGTAATGGAATTATAGCCCGTTTATATCTCCCTTAATATTAGTCCTGCTACTAATATTATTACCGGTTCGCAGATTAAAGGAAAGATCGAATAGGTACGTACTTTCCTGGTTCTATAATATTTTACTAATAAATCATATATCTAGTTCAAGAAGAAATACAAGCTATGGTTCGCACTCAAGGCTTTGACTAGTTTTGGATAGAAAGAAAAGCTATAATTAATATAGGCTAAAAAGAAATACTGGGATAATTTTCTATTAGATCTAAAAAATAAAACAGATTATACCTGGTTTCGGAATTATATATATCACTGGGTACCCGATATTAAAGAGCTTTTAGGACCCCGATTAGCTACTAGTAAATATACTTATACTATTTAATTTGCGAGAACTACGGCTTCCCTTACCGCAAAATCAAACCAAAGATTACCTGTTCTACCTGAGAACGAACCGACTATAGAAGACTTCCTTAATAAAGACAGTATTCTCTAAAGGAACTACTATCCAGAAGATATACTTCTTCCAGGTAACGAAGATTATAATAAAGCAAATAATCTATTTAGTAATACTTATAATATACCGAAACTATTATTATCTTTATTATTAATACCTATACTAAGTTAACTCATGCAAGCTAGTATATTCAAGTATTCCCGCCCTCAGGGACTAGAAAAGAGAGCTTCTGGCAAGAGAGTAAAGGTTTCTATAAATACTAGTCTTTCTAGAATAACTATACAAATTACGAATATAATAGGAGAAATACTAGCCTAGAGAAAAGAGGAATTTAACTTGAGATGCCCTAAATATTAATATATAATAGATATTATCTATAAGATATATTAAGACTTAGTTAATAAACTTAATTTCAGGTTATAAATAAGTTTTCCGAGCTTTATTAAGAAAGGTATTCCTTAGTTATATAAAAGCTTTATATCTACTTATACTAGGTATATTCTTAATACTTAGGTTAGCCCTATAGGATATAATTTAATTAAGAATATATTAAAAGAATATTAGAGATAAGTTATTTATATTATTTAGAAGAAAAAAAAGAATAAGAAAATATAAAAATAAGGTAATTAGAGTAAAAAATATATTCTACTTACTAGTCTTATAGAAGCTTTTATAGCTAGAGATAGTAATAGCAAATATAATAGAAGTTCAGGTACTAGTAATATCCCTAAAAAATCGGATAACGGGAAGAATTAGAGGCTTTGGCTATATCTTTTCTTTTAGTTATATTCTTTTTTCTAGTTTTTATAAATAGTAATAAGAATATTTTCCCTTAATTAGATACTTTTGGGAATATATAATTATATAGTAATTTAAGAGATTAATAATATATTCTCTATTTTAAGCCTAATATTAGCTATATAAAATATAAATTTACTTAGATAAGAATTTTTTTATAATTACTAATTAAAATAATATAAATTTTAGTATATTTAAATACGCTTTACTTATTCTTTCTAATACTAAAATTATTAATAAAACTAATTATTAGTAATTAAATTAAAAATCTCAACTTAATATAGGCTATTTATAATACCCTGAAAATTAGGGGCTCTAGTATATAGAAGCCTAAAGCAAAGTTAATTAAGGTTTAAATAATACTCTCTAATTAGTACAAAAGCTCCTATAAGTACTATACTACTTTTATAAATTAATAATACCATATTAAATTACCTTATATAATAGCTTAATTTCAAGACCTTTTTTTAAAACTAAGTTTTCTCAATAACTATTACTATAACTATAGCCTAAATTATACTAAAAGATAGCCCCGAAGCCAGGCTATAATACTATTAAAAAAACTAGTTTAATTTTTTTTAAGGCTACTAGTAAATTTTGGGCCAAAAATAAATATTAGGGGCTCTTATATAATACTAAATTAAAAATCAGAATAAAGTCCAAAATACTTATAAAATAGTTTAAATAAAAGCCCTATATAAAAATAATAAATAGCTATAATATATTTCAAACCTATATAGAAATAGTAGTAAAGTTATAAAGTATTCTTTCTAATAAAATAATCCTATATTACCCTGCGGCTAATAGCGATTTTAACTAGTTTATTCCCTAGAATATACTTGCTATTACTTAAATATGTTTTAAGTAATCTAGTTACGAAAAGCATTTATTCCTTAACTTATAATTAGTAAAGCTTCTTTCTTATTAGCTATTTCTGGCTTATTAATCTCGCTATTTCTATTCTCGAATATATTATCTACTATAATACTATACTAATAAATATAATTATATAAGGCATAAATAGTAAAGATAATATATGTTTATATTAATAAATTATACTCTATATTTATTTTTAGGAAAGGAAAGTATTACTTTAGAATACTAAAGATATACTTAATCTCATTTCTTAATATTAAGTACTATAAATTAAAGAGCTCTTAATATATCTTAGGAACTTCTCTAATAATAATAACTTCTCGTAAATAGTACCTTATTCTTCTAAATAGGGTAAGAATAGTTCTAGTATTAATATATCCTATATTACTAAGATAAAATCTACTATTAGAAATACGGAAGCTATCTCTTATAATAGTATCTTATAGTACTCTCTAATTATTTATAGAGCCCTCCTATCCAGGATATATAAAAGTAAACTATAAATTAAATAAATAAGTAATAAGTATATTATAAGAAAGATAATTATAGTAATTCCTTAAAAAAGCTTATACTTTAATACCTAGATATATATTAATATAAGTTCTATTAAGGGCACTAATATAATTATTAAAATAAGGCAAGAATTAAGGGTCTTATATAATTCGAGGATATATCTCTATAGCTAAATTAGGTTATTTTACTATATACTCGAATAGTAGATTTAGAGCTATAAGTACTTTATAGAAGATCCTATTTATTATATTATTAGAAATATAATAATAAAATTATTCCTATAATAAATACCTTAATACTATTACTCTTAATTTTAAGAACTTCTCTTATATATTATAATTTAATATAGGCTATCTAATAATATATATAAAAATATATATCTTCTCTTTAATAAAGATATATTTAGATAAGTATAATTCGGTATTCTCTTGGCAGAATATAATTAATTCCCTAAAAATTATAATTAGTATATATAATTACTCTTAATACCGGTATAAATAGTTATAATTAAGGAGGTTTAGGGTCTTATAGTAATCTTTCCAGGGAAAGGTTTATATTAGAATCTTATTATAGTAGGTTATTTTCTAGTATTTAATATTATTAAGTATAATTTATATAATAATTAAGTTAAATTTATAATTAAACTCGTCCCAGAATAATATAGTTATAGTATAGGAAGATATAATTAAATATTAAATACGGATATAGGATAGAAAACCCCCTAAAAAGTAGGGTTTAAGGTATATATAATAGCCTAAGGCCGAGCATTTAACTCTCAGTATTTTCAGAATAACCTACTAGAGGTCATTCTGAAAATACTGAGATTAGTATAGGGGCAGATACTGGTATTTAAATACTAGTATTTAACTCCAGTTTCCAAAAAAATGCGAAACGCGAATATTCATAATATTAGGATACTAGTATTACGATATCGGCGATATCCGAATACTCGAAGGGTGCGAAACAGGCCCTTAGCCTCACGTCAGCCACACGCTTTGCAAATGATTACATAATTGAAATTACAGCGTAAATATTGTCGGACGTGCGGGGTTATTTCGCACTAACCAAAATAGTCACTCGCTTTGATCCGAGGTACTGACCCGCGTGGCGATCTTGCATGAATCTGGACGCCACAGCAGCCACAAGGCTCATGACAATTGGTAGCCATAGTAGCGAGGTCCTAAAGCTCGGGTATGACCTTTATATAAGTATTAGGAGTGATAAGAGCTCAATGGTGGAGCTGTGGTGAAGGAACTCTATTTTGCGATAAACAGAGACATTCCACAAACCAGGCGCGAGGGCGATAATGCAAGGGTAATTTTCTGGTGGGAGGGGTTAGAATATTCAGGGGCAGCTATGGAACACGACTTATATAAAAATTTGGGACACATCGATATGTGTAGAGAGTTTGACATGTTTAAAGTCAAAGTACCTATCATTTTTTCCGGCACGTAGGGTTTTCCGCCACGCAGGGATGGACGTTACGAGGATTGCGGGTTACTTTAGTCGAGTAGCAGCCTGGGTTTCTAACCTTAGGCTACTATTTCCAATCCGCCCAGTGCATGTGACCTTACCTGAACTATCCCTTCGTCCGCTGAGACATTGCCTGATCTGGTATATTGCTGCCTAAGGTATCTACTTAGTGGCAACGGCTGTAAGACCTTCTCAGCCGTAGGAAACAGTCTCGTCCTTAATAGACAGTTACGACCGTAAGGTACGGCCGTATAGGAACTTAGCAGTCTATATATATATATATATAAAGTCTATAGGCTCCAATTAGTAGTAGTGTGGTTAAGATAAATTGAGAATCACCTTTCCAAGTCATACCGAGCCTTCCACGTGACCTAATTATCGACAGCCCGTTTAGTTAGGGTAGCTGAGAACAGTACTAAGTTAACATAGCTTATTATTAATAGACGTGCTAATAGCTCTTATCTAGCCCACTTACTGTACGAAATGGATGCATGGTTGTGGAGTTATTGTGGATTTATCCAGTATCATGGAGTCTGTATAAAGTTAGTGTGCGCGCCAGAAAATGGTGCGGCGGCTAAAATATGGGGTGCTGAACGCAGATCGCAACTCACAGTATGGTGATTCCTTCCATCTCCAAGTTGCCTCTAAAGCATTCCACCCTCGAATAGAAAATTTCATCGACAAAGTATACCAGAGTCGGTAGGAAGACACAATGGCGCGACAACTCCTGTGCCAGATCTGCACTGAGGCTACTGTAAAGCGCTACCCTGAATATTCTCTTAGCCAAACCGGTTACAGCCTTGGATCATCAAAGGACATCAAACTCCGAATCTCAACACCATATTGTGCGCTCTGTAAGATTGTGCACAGCAAGATTTGCGGCTCGGAAAGCATTGTGACACTTAGACCCAGCTTGGACCTCTCTGACGAGAACGATGAAAGAGCGTCACTACGGAAAGGATGGCACCTTGAGATCTTGTGCACTCAGCACAATCATGGTAGCATCAGAATTGCCACGAATGAACAATTCCTCTGGACTCGCTACAAACGCCTTATCAATCTAGATGATATGAGTTCCAAGGCCTGGGAGGATGGAAATCCGCGGCTGATCAATTATCCACTTATTCTTTCCTGGCTTCGTGACTGCGAAGTCGGACATACAAGTACCTGTAACCCGAATACTGACCAAAGATATAAATCTTACGTTGACATAATCTTGATCGATGTCCTCGAACTAAGGTTAGTTCGAGCTCGTTCAGATTGGAAATACTTGGCCTTGAGTTATGTCTGGGGCGGTGTCGCTATACTGCAGGCTATGATCGAAAACATTGCAACTTTGGAGCGGCAATCATCCCTTCTGGGACTTCAAGAAAAAATCCCCAAAACAATTCGGGACGCCATGGAAATGACAAAGGCTTTGAAAGAACGATACCTGTGGTGTAATGTTCTATACATAATCCAAGATGACGCGGAGCAGAAATACGACCAGATAGCACATATGGATGTCATTTATAGACATGCAAGCCTTACAATAGCAGCACTTTCTAGTATCAATGCGAATTCTGGCCTTCCCGGAATCAGTCGCGAGTTTACTGGGCCGGAGAGATGTCTAGGAGGTACCGAAAATATGTTGCTCATTCCCCAACCACTGAATTTGGATGCCATAGATCCACTGCCTTATGAGAGACGTGCCTGGACCCTTCAAGAGAGAATCTTTTCAAAACGTAGGATCTATTTCACGGAACAGAACATCTTTCTATCCTGTAGTAGGGGAGTGTCCGCTGAGAACGATGCTGGACGAGTTGTGAGATTTCGGGACTCCTGGGAGCCGTTGAATAAATCCGAGGCGATTGAGGGGCTCGCAGCCTATGTCAGAATAGTTAATACTTATACTAGGAGGGACTTGTCATATCAAAGTGACATACTTAATGCGTTTCATGGTCTCGGCGTTCGATTGGAAGAGTCCTGTAGCTTCTTCAAATTCAAACCAAAGGACCCACCTGAACTCATGGATCAGATCCCTATGGAAAACTTTCGAACCCGATTCACGAACGGACTGCCTGAAAATCCTTTCGATTTCTCCCTTTTATGGGCTCCTGAAAGGATCTTGCATCGTCGATCTGGCTCATCTGAGTCTGAAGAATTTTTCCCCAGTTGGTCTTGGGCTGGTTGGATTGGGCCGGTGACGTATCACATGAAGTGGCTCAACGATTTGCAGACAATACGGTGGTTTCAATCATTCGAAGTGAGAATATACATAATTTCTATAGAAATTTCCGGCGGTGCTTTGAGAGCAATTGAACGAGATACACGATTTGTCACTGCCACGAACGATATGGAGATTAGTTTTGAGGGAGCTATGTCTGCGGTAACAATAGAACGTCTTCTCTTCACGCCGACAATGTTGCCTGATACGCTCCATTTTATCGCCTTCACAGTCGAAGCTACAAAATTTTCTATCCTGGAGGATTTTATTTATGAGATTCCGAGTCACGTTGAGAATATTCAAGGTACTGATTGTGATACTGGCGGACACAAAGAATCCCGTGGAGATGTGGCTGGCATCCTTTTCAACGCAGCCACGTCAGAGAAAGACACTTCTACTATGAAAAGGTTTTGGGTCTTGCTCTCTAGCACTAGCAGCTCTTCTTATAGCAAGGAACTACTAAAGGACTTGCCCAAATCTGCATTAGGAGGGGAAAACGACAGAGCAAAGAACCAAATTGCGAATGTGTTGTTAGTTGAATGGAAAGGTCCGGTTGCAGAACGCCTTGCCATTGGGTTGATCGGTGCCAAGGCATGGCAGAGAGCTGGTCCTACTAAGAGATACATAAAGCTGCGCTAAGAGAGATATTCTGGAATTCAATCTTCATTACTGGACTGCATTATCTCGTAAAGATATAATGCTTTAGTAAAGTTAGCAGTGAGCTTAAAGTAACGTGTGACATACTATGGAGGAAGTCTATTATAAATTCGGTGGTCGAATGGTAGACTGAAGTACGACGATCGCGCCGCGCCCATTTACGGATCATTGAGTAACCCATTCTTGACCTCGGAACCACAGCGAACGGAGCGCTGCATCTTGGTATTGTCCTGCGCCTAATTCAGACCTCAATGCACAAAATCAAAATTCTTAACTTAACTTGAATTAAATGAATGTATTGCTGATCTACTACTTAACGACTCATTGTGTAAGTTATTCCCGTGCCGCAAATCCAAACGTGATTGCTTTGCCTTGCACGGCTGTGAAGCAGAGTCGGCCTACTAGCGTAGCCCTGTAGCTATCATTGGCGCTTGTAATAAGAACGATACGACCCAAGCTTACAGTCCACCATCCTTCATATCAACCTCGATTGGTTCGATGCCTACTTGTTCCACACGATCAAGAAGGATTTCCAGTAAGCCGTTTGCTGCAGGCTTTACATGTAACGATTGGAGGTGTGAGCCACTGTAAATATCCGCGACCCACTGCTCAATAGCTGAACCACAAGGGCCTGTGCCTTTCCCTCCGCTTTTGTTCTAATCAGGAAGAAAAATTCACGACTTGGATCACGGCCGAACGCTTTGTAAAATCCTAGGCTTGACCATTCGAAAAAGGAGTCAAGGAATTGGCAGCGCAACTACCCCCTTGAAGCAACGAAATCTGGTGTCTTAGTCAACGGTAGACAATGGCATTATATTGAAGGAACTCAAGGAATCAAGTGATGTATATAAAGAAGTGAAAGAACCTGGAAGGCATTACTGAAAGGACCCTGTCCAGATCAAAGAGTAATTCATTCTTTCTCTAGCTAGAATACAATTATCTAGTGTCATAAATATCCTTTCTAAGTTCTTTTAAAAGAAGGACGGTCTCTGTGCTGATCTGTATATTCTTGACTATTCCGAATCCTTTCGAAGTCCTAAACAAACTTTAATAGATACAACTATGATTATATCAAGTTTGTTTAAAGTAAGAGAGAGAATAGACAAGTCGTAGAGTACTTACTATATAATAGTAACAACCCTGTGAAATCCCGCTCAAAATTCCTCAGCCTCATGCTCTAAGAAATATATACATTGCCTGCCAGGCTTTAATACAGTATGGGAATCTCAAAAGAGACTAAATTCTAGACCAGGGTCAGCGGGAGGCGCTCGTCAGTAATTCCATCTCTTAAACTTAGGGGAAAGCGAATCTCAAAATCTTTGGGCTACGTTCCAACTGACGATGCTCTCTGGATTAATGCGACAACCCACAACATTTCGAAGATGCTAGAACACATTAGCTAGATATAGTCTTCGAACGTATCATTTTCCTTACTTACTTTGTCGTCAAGAGTATTTAGTGTGCCAAAGTCCAATCCTTCTTCTGTCTTGAACAGGAATTTCTTCTGTGCAATCTCATCGACTCGTTTTCCGTAAGAGCCTGTTTGGATCTCCCGGAGATTATCGCCAAAACTTAACAAAAATGATATGATAGGGCCCTAGTCTATATCCAGCCTGATTAGAGATCAAATGCGTGAGTGAGTAATAGATACTGTTCAAGGGCTACTGTGGCGGGGTCACGTGTGTCACGTGGTCTTGGCACTTGGATGTCTGCTACGCTGGCACTACTGTAGCTCATTAGGCCAATACAACTTATTTACCTCCGTCCTTAAAGCTACGATATGCCTCTTTATCCCCTTTATACTGCTCAAATTTCTCAGGCGAGTTCGGGTAAGGAGGGGGTGAGCCGAGGGTGATTAGCGCCTGAGTAGAAGCGGCGAGCTTACTAACCGACCGTGGGACCAAAGAAAAAAAAGTTGTGTTCAACTACCACAGTATTCGTACACCTGCCTTCATTCTTAATAGTATTGCTTTGATTTTAATTATTCAATTTCGACTGCGAGTTCTCATAATTCTCACATATCCGGACACTGTAAATGCCACTCTCCCAGTGAGCAATGTTAGGTATTAGTAAAAGCGTTTCCTCCAACTCTATACATGCAATATTAATATATAATTGATGCCTCAACCCATACTAAATATGCAGGATAAGTACATAATTGTCCTAATCCATATTATAATCATACAAAGAAATAGCTAACTCCGATAATTTGCCTCAGAAATACCGCAATTCGCCGCTTCCCTGTTAACCTCCTTTACTACCTTTTTTCGCTTGCATCTGCTACTGGTATTGCTGGTATTGCTATTGGACAAGTTGCTGGGGAGTCTGGCACTGCTTTTACAATGGTGGAAAATCCTTGTATATAATTTAATACTTGTTTTTCTTTCTCCATAGTACTAATTAAGGACTATTTAAATATAAACCTTTTATAAAATTTGGATTAGTAATAGCTCTTTAAATTAAAGAAGTTAATAATTTCACATTTTATAGTCTAAAATCTAACTTAAGATTTTTAAAGAGCTTAGGTAGCTAATTACAAGTCGTTAATACCCCTGCCATAATCGACACCCCTAATCGATACCCGGGGGGGAGGGGTCGTTTTAGTTTCTCCCCTACTTCCCCACTTTTATTGATCATCGCCCAGTGCGGATCAGCGATAACAGCAACGTTACTTTGCTGGGTACTGGTATCTTCAGAATAATTAAATTAACTTTCGGACTTTGATCCGAGTCTTGGACGAGATGACGGCTGTTCGTAGGGCTATAAGTTTTCATGATATAACTTGAGACTGTCAAGCCGAGATCCTCGCGTTGTATGATTTAGCCGGGGGACATTCAATCATGAGAATCGCATTCGCTATCACAGCGGTGAGTCTCTTCTTCCCTCTGGGAACATGTGAGTCTACCTTCGCCAGAACAAAATCCTTGTCTGACGGAATACAGCTGCGAGATGGCTTGGAATTCCCACAGTACCCTTCGTTGAATCAGACCCGAAAGAAACTTTCTCCCTCAGGCAATTGAAATACATCATAGTGGATACAAAGTACCAGAACACCGTTGATACTGAAGGAGAAACGCTCATTCCTCCCTCGTTGAGGAGCTTTGCCTCTACCTTCAGCGATGACCTCTTCTCCTCCCTCGATCTGAAAGTCCCGGCGAGGGCCGGCGAAGCTGCTTTGCCGAATTCAATTTTCATGACGATTGGGAATTCAAGTCATTACTTGGATGCTGCCGGAAGACCAACTTCGGAAGGGTATTCTATCAATATTACGGAGGATGGAATTGTGATCACGGGGGCAAGCCCGCTGGGTGCATTCTGGGGAACGCGCTCGATTTTACAGCAAGGTGTATTGAGTAATGGCATGCAATTGAGCTCGGGAAGTGCGATTGATGCATCTGGATGGGGGGTTCGGGGAACTTTTGTAAGTGTTTCCCCGTTTGGCGGATCTAAATGCTGACCCTTCCTACAGCTCGATGTGGGGCGACATTATTACCCACCAGAGTTCTTGATTGAAATGTGTTCATATTTGTCATTTTTCAAGCAGAACACCTTCCACCTTCACCTCAGCGATAGCCCTGGTCTGAACCCAGCCCTCACATATGAAGAAAAGTTGGACTTCTATTCTGCGTTTCGACTCAACTCGCCAGACCCTGCCGTTGAAGATCTCAACAAGCGCGCAAATGAATCATACTCTCAATCCGATTTTGAGGATATCCAGCAATCATGTGCAAGTAGAGGTGTCACTATCATACCTGAGATCGAAGCACCTGGGCATGCTCTTGTCATCAACCAGTGGAAACCCGAACTGGCTCTTGATACGGACTTCACGCTGCTGAACATATCCCATCCAGGGACCATCCCAACTATGGAAACTATTTGGGGTACTCTTCTGCCTTGGTTCCATTCGAAGACCGTTCATCTTGGTGCAGACGAATACTCAAGCTCAGAAATAGCCGACTACAATCTCTACGTCAATACCATGCATACCTATATTGGCCAAAACTTTGACAAAAAAGTTCGCATTTGGGGAACCTTTCCACCCTCAAAAATCGTCAATGAGATGAATATCAATCACAATGTCTCAATCCAGCACTGGGAATACTTCGAGGCAAACCCCTACTTCGACTTCATGAAAAACGGCTACCACGTTCTCAATACCGACGACCAATTCTACATTGTCGCCAAATGGTCAGGCAGCTATCCTCAAAAACTCAACATAAGCCTTATCTTCCATGGCGCACCAGATGGCGGTCCCACAGCACCGTATATCTTCGACAAATCCAACGCAAGCAACAATCCACCACATGATAGCCCATATGTTCTCGGCCAGATGCCAGCACTGTGGAACGATTTTGGTCCAAATAGTACCTCAGTTATTGAGGCTTATTATGCTCTACGTGAAGGTCTTCCAGCACTCGGTGACAAACAATGGGGAGGTGACCTTCTCATGCACGAATATTTCTCCATCTTTGAGACTCTACATGCCGCGATTCCAGGACAGCATCTCGACCGGAGAATTGATTCGAGAACCAACACAATCTTGTCTTACGATTTCTCGAGCACAGGGACAGTTTACGATAAGTCTGGAAATGGGTGCGATGGCACAATCAAGCGAGATTGCAGTGTGGCAGACTCGGTTCTCACGTTGAGAATGGGATGCTCGGTCACTACTCCTTTGACGTCGAAAGGGAGGAATTACACACTCGCATTCTCCGTCAGACCAACTTCTTCAGTACCCGGCACTCTCTTCTCAGGCTCCGCATCCTCCCTCCTTACAGGAAACGGGAGCATCAGTAATGTGATGCTCATTACAGGCGGGAATGCATATGTTCTCAACTACACTCTCCCTCTCCACGTCTGGACGCACGTTAGTCTAATCGCATTGACAACGCAACATATCTCTCCGTCACGCCTTCTACCACGAGTGAGGAAAGAGTACTTGAGTTCACGGCTACGATTGGAGATTACTCGAATAGCTTTATTTGGAATAATCCGATGGCTATTGAAGCGCCTGTGGCGGTTATTGGTGGAGATAATTTTCAGGGAGAGATGAAGAAGGTCACATTGGTAGATGGAGCGGATGCGAAGTATGTTGAATTTGTAAAGAAGTTGGTTATTGGCGTCGCGCCGTATGAATGACGATACGAAAGGCGAACGGAAACGTGAATTTCGAGGGCTCATTTGTCGAGCTGTTTGAGTTCTGATAGCTACTTTCTGGTGTGAATAGATAACAAAGAGGGAATCCCTCCTAAGGATCACGATTTCCTTTCCCCTTCCTCATCAACACCGCCAATCCTTGCCCACTCCCATCCTCTCCCTTCTTGCTTTCAAGAAGTTCCATCCCTAGAATCCTTTCGTAGAAAGGGACCGCTCTTTTCCAATCACCTGCCAACAGCATACTCCGTCTCAAGTTCGGCATTGACTCAATAACCTCTTGGACGCACTCCATCAACCAAGTCCCTAATCCCTTTCCTTGATATGCAGGATCGATGTAGACATCAGTCAAGTAGACGAAGGTCGTGAAATCGGTAACGCAGCGTGCGAGGCCTAGGAAATTATCTGTCGATTCTGCCTCATGAGAGTGGGAATGAGTGGGTGTTCCTGGTTCGGTGGAGAATAAGCCGAAGCAGAGCGAACTTTGCAGCATCCGTTGCATGACCTCTTCCGGTAAAGGGGTTGCCCAATAGACATCCTTGGATGCGAAAAATGTGTTGAGTTTGGCGATTGGAATTAGGGATGGGTCGGTGGAAATGAGGTAGCTGTCTCGTGACCATGTTTGGTGGTGATGTTTGAGGGATATGGAGGAGGCCATTTTCAGGGTTCCATGCAGGTGAGCCCTTTGTTTAAGAGCGCGATGGAGCACTTCAATGAAGGTCTGAGTTCGGGCATTGGGGTCCAGCTTTCCAAGTGCCTCCGAAACCGGCTGCCGTGCTACGGAATACTTAAGGCTCTGCTGCAGAATGGGTTGTCCACGTGACCACGAACCGTCATGCTGGCCGCAGCTTGTTGTTGCCTTATACTATGCGATAAAAGGGGCTCTGGCTGAAACTCGGAGCTTGGGAGTCTATTGGGGGTACATCTAAAGACACTGAACCTATTGGCCCTGGCCGTAGCTGTCTGGTCTTGGCAAAACCAAACCTCGCTTAAGAAAAGGGGTGTACTCGATGGGGAACAAAGTAAGGCCGATAAACGAAAGCACTGCAATTTTAGTGCCTTAGAGAAGGATCGAGCCCAGGTACCCCACACCTATTTTGCAAGAAGCATCTTTTTAATCTTTTCCGCCGATTCCTCGTCCACTACGGTATTCCAGCTCTTTCATTTGGAGAGTCTATTGTAGTCCTAAAATCCCGACAAACGTCTGGGAATTCAAAAGCCAAACCAAAGAGCAAAGCACTTCTTCCGGAGCGTTGAACTGCCATGTGAGAAAGTTCAAATAGCACCGCGAAATCGCGATATGAGCTATTGGAAGATACCTGCAAGTGGCACTTGGCGAGGCTGAGGGAGTTGACAGTTCAATCCTCAGACATGAATAGTAGCGCGCATCCTAGAGTGAGGTATCAGCCAAGCTTTTTGCTTCAATATGGAGAAGAGCCAGTTCCAGATTGAAGAGGATCTCAGTGTACCATCACATCTGGTAAGACTTACATCAAAGGGATACGCAACAATCCTAGTCTCGAGATTCACTCTCAACTTCAGAAAACTCTCATTGACCCAGAACTTATAGAAGAATGAAACAACTTACAACATGTATTCCAGGTCTGTGCACTCAAAGTAGTTATATTATCATAAATGAACGTTTTGCCCGTAAATTTTTGAACTCAAAACCCGATTTCATCTCATGGTCGCTACTTGCTCTTGACACCCTCCCCATCTTCTAAACAAGATTGATCCCAAGTCCGATTTCTGACATTCAGGGCATCCAGATAATTGATATTGGAACTAGCTTGAATACTAGCCAAGCAGAAAGATCCAGGCACCGTCACAACCAGTAGTAAAAGGCCTCAACCTGTTAATCTAATATTTCATTCCTTCTTTAAATGCAAGTAGACTCTAAACACCATCATTTAGCAAAAAGCCCACCCGAAAATCCATCCCTAATCCGAAGAATCTCTCATCCAACCCACCGTCTTGCACTTCTAAACATCCTGACCCACGGCCCAAACTCACCCCACTGATCTGCCTTCTCCTTTGGAACATAGCTCCCAACATCCGCCATGATGGTTCGCTCGGGATGCGGCATCATAGCGAGCACCCTCCCATCGAGACTCCTGACGGCCGCAATCCCCTCTGGACTACCGTTCGGGTTGAACGGATACTTTTCCGTCACCTTGTCGTGATTATCAGTGTATCGGATGGGAATCAAGTTATGCTCATTCATAGCCTCGAGGTCCTGAGTATGTTTGAAGCTTGCTCGACCTTCGCCGTGCGAGACAGCGATAGGGAGCGAGGAGCCATGCATTCCGTGCAAGAAAACGGAAGGATGCTTATTGTTATCCTCGATCTTGACCATCGAGACTCTTGCTTCAAATTGCTCGCTCTTATTCTCGAGGAAGAGAGGCCAGTAGTTTGTGCCAGGGATGAGTTCCGCAATTCGAGTGAGCATCTGGCAGCCATTGCAGACGCCTAGGGCGAAGGTGTCTTTGCGAGCGAAGAAGTTCTGGAACGTAGGACGGGCATTCTCTTCGTGCATGAGGATAGATTTGGCCCAGCCTTGGCCGGCGCCGAGGACGTCACCGTATGAGAAACCGCCGCAAGCGGCAATGCCGACGAAGTCTTCGAGAGTGCGGCCTCCAATAATGTCAGTCATGTGGACATCAATGGCATCGAAGCCTGCTGCCTTGAAGGCAAATGCCATTTCGGCGTAACCGTTGACACCCTGTTCCCTGAGGATCGCCACACGAGGTGCCTTGGCGAAGACAGATGTGATGGATGATGCAAATGGGAGAATTGTATCCTTCGGGTTAAACGTTAGCTTATAGTGCAGTCCGGGATTACGGTCATCTTTGATGCTTTCGTATTCCTCTTCGGCGCACTCGATATTGTCTCGAATACTCTGCATTTGGTAGGACGTCCGTGACCAGTGCTGTTGCATCTCAGAGCGCCCCATACGCAAAATTTCCTTCTGTCCATAGCGAATGGCGAGCTCTTGCTTCGATACTGCGGGTATTCGACCAATCTTCTTGATCAACCCTTTGGGTGGACCGCAGGTCGCAAAACACCGGTTGAAGTTGATTTCATCCGACTTCCGAACTTGGAAGATTCCGCCCAGTTCTTCGTTGAACAGGGCCGCGAGAATATGGGGTAGTGAGGAGCTCTTCGCAACAGAATCAATCATGATCTCTGCACCGCAACGACCGGCGAACATCATTTCAGCGATTGTTGTAAGCATTCCACCATCTGAAATATCGTGATAAGCCAGAACAATTCTAGACTCGTGGAGTTGGACAATGGCGTCATAGTAGTCAATGATGCGGTCCGAATCTCGAACATCTGGTGCTTCGTTTCCAAGCTGTCCGAATGCTTGTGCAAGTGCAGAGCCTCCTAATGCTTGCTTGCCTTCAGCAAGATCCACATACATCAATATAGTTTCCCCAACATCTTCAAGTCTTCGAAGAGCAGGTGTCCAAGTGTTCCGAACATTGGCAACCGGAGCAAATGCTGAAATTACAACTGTCATAGGAGCTGTAACACTCTGAGCCTCTCCACTTTGCTGGTCCTTCCACGAAGCCTTCATTGAGGTTGAATCTTTTCCAACAGGTATACTGATACCAAGTTGGGGACACAACTCCATGCCTATAGCGTGGACTGCTTCATACAAAGCGGCACCCTCCCCTTCGCTTTTGATCGACGCCATCCAGTTGGCTGATAATCGAACACGGGGGAGGTCCCCAAGGACGTGTGCGGCGGCCAAGTTCATCAAACTCTCAGCTACTGCCATTCTAGCTGACGCCGCAGGTGAAATAAGAGCTAGTGTAGGCTTTTCACCCATGCTCATAGCCTCTCCAGTCTTGATTTTATCTCCTATGTTTAGCGCCGTTATTGTGACAGCGGCTTATCACCAAATTAGTATATGATTACTGACTGGCTCTGAGCTCTCAAACAAGAAAACAGAGTTTTGGCATAGAAATATCCTTACCATCTGCAACTGGAGTCTGCCATGGGCCAACCATCTGATCCCTAACTGTCATACCTCCAACAGTGCGGTCTCCAATGGTGATGAGGAAGGATTTTGAACCCACTGCGGGCAACGCGAAGACCCGTTTAACAGCCTGCTTCAGTGATTCGTCTTCTGTTTTCTTGGGATAGCTTTCGACGAGAGCCTTTTCCGGATCAAACGGTTTAAGTTTTAATTTCCTCGACTTCACACTGTTTCTCAGCTTTTTGCCCTCCGGAAACAATACGGACATCGGCAAATCGATGGGCCGAGGATATTCGACCGACTCTCTGTCCGTTAAGACAAGTCTAGCAACTCCGCTCTCGTCTTTGGGAACGGCAGTTCCGACATCTGAGAAACCGCACCGCTCTCGGTCTAGTAACATTTAGCAAAATTGGTACCTCCTTCGAATGCAGAGAAAGAACTTACTTGCGATGCTGACAAACCTACTGAGACCCTCCTTGTTGACGAGCATCACGTATCTTTCCTGCGCTTCACAACACCAAATTTGCAAAGGACTCATGCTCGGGTCCGCGTTCTCGACTTGTCTGAGCTCGAACTTCCCACCAAACCCGGCGTCCTTGACGAGCTCGGGCAAGGCATTTGACAGCCCTCCTGCACCTACATCATGAATGAAAGCGATTGGGTTGTTCTCGCCAAGAGCCACACAGGCGTTGATGACCATCTGTGCTCGTCGTTGCATTTCAGGGTTGCCTCTCTGCACACTGTCAAAGTCAAGCTCAACAGAGCCCTCGCCTGATGCATTACTTGACGCAGCTCCGCCACCAAGTCCAATCAGCATTGCAGGACCTCCTAGAACAATAACATGGGCTCCTTCTTTGACATCTCTTCCGCTCTTGAGCGCATGCTCGGGTCGAACCGTGCCCACACCTCCGGCAATCATGACAGGTTTGTGATAACCCCGGAACTCGTGGCCACCACTTCCCGCGTCGACATCAGCCAACAGAGTTCGGAAACATCCAGTCAAACAAGGACGACCAAACTCGTTGTTAAACCTAGCACTTCCGATGGGCGCTTCAAGCATAATATCTAGACTGCTTGCGTAGTGTGCTGGCTTTCCAATATCTATCTCCCACGGGTGAGACTCAGAGTGGTCTGGTAATAAAAGATCCGAAACCCAGAATCCACAGAGCCCGGCCTTCGGAGTTGACCCTCTCCCCACCGCACCCTCATCTCTGATTTCACCACCGGATCCGGTAGCTGCTCCGGGGAATGGAGAGATTGCAGTTGGGTGGTTGTGCGTCTCGACCTTGGCCAGGAAATGAACCTTTTCCTTCGTCTGTCTCCAGCTGCCCGTTGAGTAGTCTGGGGCCCAGAAGCTAGCCATTTCTCCTTCTAATACGGCGGCATTGTCAGAATATGCAGAAACCGTAAACTGGGGATTTTCTCTATGCGTATTCCGGATCATGTCGAAAAGACTCTTGCCCTTGCCCATATCAATGCCGTCGATATTCCAATCGGCGTTGAACTGCTTGTGTCTGCAATGCTCGGAATTGACTTGTGCAAACATAAAAAGCTCAATATCATGTGGCTGTCTGCCGAGATTCTTGTAAGCCTGGACGAGGTATTCCATCTCGTTCTCGTCGAGTGCCAGACCTCGTTTTGTGTTGTATGCCTTCAATATTTCCAGGGGTGTAGACCCTTCCGCGAACAAGTCTATGAGTTCCAAGGGATATGGCTGTCCCTCAATGAACATCCTTCCTGGACTCGGCTCGTCTGTGCCGAAGTTCTCGGTCATCCTGTCGTATAACGCGTCTCTGAACAATATCTCGTTTCCGCCTTGGAAAGGTTCTTCAAATTCAATCGATATCGCACGGCCTCGCTCGATGCGTCGGACTTGGTTCTTAATTCCACAGACGTGGGCAATGCTGGTAGCTTTGGAACTCCAAGGAGAGATATTTCGTGGTGTGACATAGTAAATTTGGCTTCGTGCGGTGTTCGCAGTTCCGAGTATGTCTGGGCTAGAGGTCGTATCTGGAAGGAGCTGCTTGATTTTCTCTTGGACAGCCTGTTTATGGTATATGCCATCAGCACGGCGCTATTTCATGTTCTGAAAGGAACCCTACCGAATCGCGCTGTCCTAAATGGACATAATGTACCCAGCAGCCCTGTAAATTCAGTACTTTCGGACCACCTCGTGCCAGAATCGCCTTCTTAAGCTTTTCTGTTTCTGCTTGCGTGTAGCAGGATTCTCCTGGTAGGGTAAGGTACTCCATTGTTCCGGGTTATGTTGGAACAATGCGAGTAGACTGGTGAGCGAGTGAATTAATATGGCACTGCAAACATAAGGGCAAGGTTGAAATTGCAAAAGCAACGCCGGGCGCGTTGTTGTACCTTTAGATGTGGTGCATTTTCCTCTGAACTGGAATGTATGGCGGGGTCGCCTCGCAAAATTTTGGCGGGATAAAATGAGGGACCGGATAAGAGTATGACCGAGCCTACTGAGGCCCACAGCTAGCTAGCGGACAAATCCGAGAAGCGAAAAGTGATTTTCTGATTTTCTGATTTTCGCACTGGCGCCCCCCCCCCCCTCCTCCCCAAGGCAGAATTCCTAATTAGGGGTATAGTACCCATACGTGACTTTCGGCTTGGATAATGCAACAATAGTAAGGCTGCTTGCTTGTCTAATTAACGAAGTGAGAGCCCATACTACCGTATGAAATCGTACCAAAATTGGGCCGGGTAGTATAATATAAAATTAAGTATTTATTGCAAATTACTGTAGTCAGGTGACTATAGGCTATAAGCCCTTCTAGAATAATGCTATTAACAGGGTCTAATGACTTCCTTAATATTCCCGAGATTAGAAATAAGAAAATTAAACTGTTAAAATAACTGAGAAGCCGGCTAATTACTTTTTTTTAGTAATTAATTAATAAAATCATATAGGGGTAATATTACTTGAGTTTTTTAGTGCTTATATTACTAAAAAGTATATTACGATAGTAAAGCATGCCCTGAACTTAACCCCTATTAAAATAACTTAGTAGATTTCATTAAAATAATACTATGACTTTTAATAAATCTATTACTATATTATAAAGCTATTACTAAATAGACTCGTATAAATATTAATTAAGAAGAAATTATAAATAAATTAAAAGATTTATATAGAATCTCAGTTAATCTATATACGGTCCAATAGCGACTATAAGAATGGAATATCCAAATATATACTCAAATAGTAGATATACCTTTCCTTTATATATAGATTATAATCCTGTATTATCTGGGAAATATAGATAAGGAAATACTTAAGGATCTTAAGGATTATGGTTATATAGCTTTAATTACTAGAGTTATCCGTATATATAAGAAGCTTGGTCTCATTTGCCATATAACTATAATAGACAGGCAAGTAGTAAACAAGTAATTATTTATAATACTATAGAGTAAGCTAAATAATAGGCGGATTACAGGTTATAGACAGTGGTATTTATATATATACTTCCGTTAATAAGGTTTACTAGTAACCCGGTTAGTCTTTCTATACTTTACTATTTTGCCCTAGCTTGGAAAGTTAGGGCCTTATTTACTAATATATTTTATTATCTATAGGGAGAGCTTATATATAATATTATGACTCTTGGATCCCGAGGTAATTATACTACAAATATAATAGATATAGTTCAAGAAGAGAGAATATATTATACCTGGGCCGGACTAGATTTAGTTAATTAATAGATATAATAAGCTATTACTATTTGGGATCGAGATATATACTTGTATTAATACTTATTTATATAATATTATCTGGGTATATATTAGAATCTCTAATTAGATTACCTATTTAGTTATATAGTAGTATCTTTAGATTTATACTTAAATAGGCTACTATCCTTATTTCTTTAGGGCTAATCGAGGTTCTAAACTTCCCCTTATTACTAAAGTATACTTTATATTCTTACAGATAGCCGATCCGTTAGTTATATATATAGAGGACTACTTTATTTCTGGGAAAAGTACCGAGAATTAGTAAGTTAAATTCTAGTAGTAAGAGCTTTAGAAAAGCTAGCTATACCGGTAGTATATAAGTAATTCCGTTTCCCTATATCTGCCTCTTATTCTTTCTATTATTAGAAGGAAATATTAGATACTAATAATTATACCGCTTTTTATTAAGGCTATTAGATCTTATATTATAGTACCGGATTATATAACTAATTCCGATTAGTATATATAGAACTACTTTTAGGAACTAGCTTATACCGGGAATTATAATTACTAATACCTATAGAACCGGATTATTTTACTAGTACTTTATATATAGTAGATCCAAAACGAGATATATAGGTTTGCGGACTTGTGAAATATCTATAGGATTAGAAAAGACAGATCTAGGCCTAATATAGTAGCTAGTAAGCTATTTAGACTATATATAAGGCCCTTAGGTAAGGCATAATACTAGGGTCGCCCTATAGATATAAAGCTTTATAATATAATTCTTAATAATTATTTAGTTTAGGGTAAGTAATATAACCTTATATAGCTCTATATAAATAGTTTACTTATATACTAATATAGATATTAATAAGTTTCTACCGAGAGAAATACTAGAATAGTACTATTAGAAGCTTATATCTTATGGTATAAATATAGCCGATATTCGTATAGGAAATACTAATAGAAACGGTAATTGACTATATATTTAAGCTTACTACTAGCTCTAATATATAGTCCGGATATATATAGCCTTAGGGTAGCTACCGATATTAGGAGAGTCCGAGAAGCTAACTAGTAGATATAATACTATTATTATACGGAATAGGATCCTTAAATAAGTTATCCTAATAAATATAGAATATATAAATAATATATAGGCCAGAAGAATACCTATATAGTTCCTAATAGTCTAGGACTTTACCCAGGAATGGCCTTTTATTAGTAATATTCCTAATAATATAGGGTAATTAAATAAGCTAGTTATAAAATAACTAGATATATTAAGATAGGTATTATTTATTATTAAATATATTATTTTCGAAACCCTCTTCTTACTTTTAAGAATAATACTAATAGAATTATTAAGTTTATTTACTATATAAATATTCTATATCCTTAAATTCTTATCTCTTAAAATAGTACTACCGTTTCTTAGAACCTGCCCTAATATTATATATCCTATAGCCAAATACTAGTATAGTAATATCTAATATTATAAGTTCTATTAATCTACTAATAATAAATATAATATAAAGACTATTACTTTACTTGCCTAGAATAGTAATACTAATAGACTTAAACCTTATAGCTCTGGAATTCCGTCCGTATCTGCCCCCCTCTTTATATCTGGGATACTTTAGATCCCTAGCTCTTCTTAGTATCCTTATCCCGTATCTTTTCTTCTAGAAATATCTACTATATCTATTTCTCTAGTTACTATTACTATATAGCTATTAGGTACTAGTTCTATTTTACTCCAGGCTCCTCCTGCTCTAATAGCCCTATAACTACTTCCTTCTATATTTCCTTTTACTACAAGCCATATTACTTGACCTAATTACTTTTCTAGTAGTACTTATACTACTATATAAGCTTAATAAACTATAAATGCAAGAGTTACTCAGGCCACTATTTAGGCTATAGCTCCTTATACTAGTAATAGGCTACCTGGAGCCCTTTAAGGTCTTATAAATCAAAATATGGCCGGATCTAGTCTTATAGAATTACAGACTATAGTTTTATAGCTAGTTCTCTATAAGTGGGTATTTAATAATATAAAGAATTAGAGAACTAAGCAAAGAACTATCTAACTTTCTAAAGAAATCAGTAGTAAGTTTTCTCCTATTTCTTTTACTAGATTCTCTATATGAATTCTAATAGATATTTTTTAATAGGTGGCTTTTGATTTAAAATAAATAATCGAGTCTTTTTTACTTTTTCTAATATAGTTTCTTAGTAGCTATTCCCTTACTTCTTTCTCCGTATTAGCAAATCTATCTGCTATTATTAATTTATTAATAATATAAATAAACTAGTATTCTATACTAGTCCTAATAATAAAAGAGTCCAGGAACTTATGGTCTTACCAGGTTTTATCTAAACTATCTTTAACCTTTCCTACTATAGTATATATCTGGGCCCTAAGGGTATCTAAATAATTTTCCTTATTTTATACTAGAATAAGACTCTATATAAAGATATTTGTCTTGAAATTACTTATAAAGAGCTAGAAAATGCTTAGAAAAAAACTCTATATAAAGATCTCTGTTTTAAAATTACTTGTAAAGAGCTAAAAAATGCTTAGAAGATATAGTAATTTGAGGAGATTAAATAATAGACTAAGGAGGCCCAGAAAGCCCAGAAAAGTATTACCTACTAGTATAGGTATAAGACTTTAAGAGCAAGAAAGAATCTAATAAACCGGTAGGTAAATAAAGGTATATATATAATTCTCTTCTTTAATTCTGGCTTCTATTCTTTATTTTTTCTATAGATCCTTTTTTGTTTTTAGGTTTAATTAACTTATATATATCAGGATTCTTCTTTACTTACCGACTTCTAAGAGCTATAAGATAATATAGAAAGTACTACTAAAAGTACTACTAAAGCTAATCCTAATAGTAATAATAATAATAATAGTAATAGGCTATTAGATCCTCCTTTAATTTTACTATCCTTTCCTCTAGTAGAAGGAACTATAGTTAATTTTATAAACCGTATAAGTATTACTTTATAGTAACGGGTATATTAGAGATATAAATATACTACTTCTCTTCCTTATTAGATATAGAGAATTAACGGATATAATATCTTTAGCTTTATAAGTAAAACCCAAGGTACCCGGGCTACTACTAGTATTCTGTTTATTACCCCGGATAGAAATCTAATTATTATTATTAAACTTTCTAGGCTAATTAATCTTACTTCTCCTAAATAAATCTATTATATAAGGTCTAATAAATTATATATAAATATTTGCCAAGGTTAAGGTAGTTAAGAAAAAATAGGCCTAATATCTAATATACTTTTTCCTATATCTTATAATTAGCTTAGTACTATTTTAGGTCTTATTTCCTTATGAATATATATATATACTTGAAATTTATAATTAATACTTTAAAGTAATATTCTTTAATTAGTTCTTATATAATTTAAAAGTTAGGCTACTAAATTTAATACTTTTATAATACTTAAATCCATTCAAGTTTATAAAGTCTTATGATTATTAGGGCCTTTATAATTCTTTGCCTTTTGAGTTTAATACCTAAATAGTATTATATACTTTGCCTTTAGTATAGAGGAGACTCCTAAAAGTCTAGGATTATAAAGGGATTTTTATATTAAGGATATATTATATTATAATAATGAAATTATAGGTATTTATATATAGATATATAATATATTAGACTAGCTATACTAAAAACCATACTATATCTATATATAAAGTTACTAATTGCTTTATATTAATACCGGACCCGTATAGTCACGTGACTTTATATAATTGGCTAGCTATAGAAAAGCCCTAAAGCCCGAAACTTATAAAGAGTCTCAAGGGCTTTAGGGCTTCCGGACTATTACTAGTACCCGGTACTTTTTGGGAAAAAAGTATAATATATTCTATAATAGGCAACCTATTATAGACTACTTAATCTTTAAGTTAAGCGGGAAATCTGAGGGTCGGGCTTATAATTCAAGTCTTATTAAAGTTATTAAAGTCTTTGCTAGCTAGTATTATAGATTTAATAAAAATATTACGGGAATCTTATAGGTTCTATCCTAATCTATCCAGAAAATATATATAGTATATCTCCTTATTTATTCCGATATTTATATATAATTCCTGAGAGCCGAACTATTACCTAAAAAGGAAGTAAAAAGGCTAGACTAATACTTTTGAAAACCAAGGCCTTAATAAATCTATCTAGAAAAGCTTACTAATTCTTCTAAAGATAACCCAAGAAAAGTTTGAGTTTATTATATATTATAACTTATATAACCAGGGACAGGGACTATTCTAATAGGCCAGAAAGAGTTTCTTATATGGCTTACTTATATAACTAGGAATAAGGATTTGAGTTTATTATATGGAATTACTTATATATAGAGACTCCTGCTATAAACTCCTTATTTAGATTAATTAGTTAAACCTATTTTTAATACTAAGTCTTTATTAAGGCAACTTCCCGCTCTTAGAGGCTTTAGATAAAATAGCTAATAAGTTTCTTAGCTATTAGCCAAGACTTATTAGCTAGAAAATCTATAAGTAATAGATAAGATTATAAAATAGAACTCCCCTAATTATAATACCAAGACGTTTTACTATAGTATAAAGTAATTAGATATGAAAGCCCTATTAAATATAATATATCTCGAACTATAAGTTTGCGAGATAAGTATAGGGAGTCTTAGTACTTAACTAGTACTATAGTCTAGTCTAAAGGCACCTACTATCCTTTATATCTAATTTAATAGAAATAAGAAATACCTATACTTTAACTCGAGGGATAATTAGGACTTTTATATAGACTTAGGGTAGTGGTTTGCTCTATAGAGAGAAAATAGACCAGAAATACCCATACTATATTAATTTTTAAGAAAGATTATAGTAAATATTATAATTCCTGAAATACTCTCGAGGAAGCTCTCCCGAACTAAAGTAAACTAGTTTATAATCCCGAAAGATCTATAGAAATCTTATATACCCGAGAGTATAAGTACTTAAGGTAAATACTATTTGAGTCCTAACCTATAATAAAAGAAAAGTAAAGTATATAAAACAAAATATATAAAGTAAAAGTAAAATAAAATATCCGGATATTTAATAAATAGAAAGCCTAACTATGAGTTATAAGAACTAGTACTAACTAGGTATATATATAGTAATATTAAAGGAGAGGTAAGGCAAGGGGAACTAAAAAGTAAATTAGTATATATTTTATAAAAGCGAATAGAGAGATGTCTAAATAGCCCGAAAGTAAGAAGTATATATTAAAGAAGTCGAGATCGGAAAGAGAAGGGCTATTTCCTATAAGAATAAGTTAGTATATATTCCAAGATAAAGAATAGGGGTACTTAGTAATGGCCCGAAGGCTTTTATAAGTATTAAAGAAGGAGAGGAGGTATTAAAGTTCGGAGGAATCTAAATAGGAGTTAGCCTCTTTTTTGGAAGTTCGAAAGAGGGTATTCCTAAAGGGCCTAAAGATATAAGAGATATCGGAAAAGGAAAGAAGGAGATATTAGAGAAAGGAAAAAGGGATCTAAAATTTAGCTTTCTAAGAAGCAAGTGGATTAAAGACTTATAGTATAGGAGTTCTGGATAAAAGTAACCCGGAAGTAGTAGTCAGGTACCAGCTTTTAGTATTATTAGTAGAAGTATTAAAGGAGGAGGGGTTCGGAGGAGGGGTTTAGAGGGGTTCGGAGGAGGAGAGGAAGGTTATAAGGCAGTCAGATACCAGCTCTTGGTATTAATAGAAGAAGTATTAAAAGAGGAGGGGTAAGGAAAAGGGGTTCGGAGGAGGGGTAAGAAGGGGTTCGGAGGAGGAGAGGAAGGTTATAAGATAGTTAGATACTAGCTCTTGGTATTAATGGAAGAAGTATTAAAGAAAGAGGGATAAGAAAGAGGAGTTTGGAAAAGGGGTAAGGAGGAGTTCAGAGGAGGAAAGGAAGGTTATAAGGCAGTCAGATACTAGCTTTTAGTATTAATAAAGGTATTAATAAAGGTATTAATAAAGGTATTAATAGAGAAGGTATTAGTAGAGAATAGAAGCTCTTGGTATTAATAGCGAAGTCGAAAAAATATAGAAGAAGAATAGAGGTTTTAGAGTAAAAATAGAATAGAGTTATAGTTTTATAGAAAATAAAGTTACTAGTATAGGATAGTTATATTATTATATAATTCCATATTTACTTTTGCTATTTATTAAAGATATATATCTCTCAGGAGAAAGTATTACTTAGAATTCTTGAGCCTCTCTAATTTAATAACTATATATTTGAAAAATAAGAAATAAATATAATTATATATATTAGAATAAGGAAATTCTTCTTATCCAAAAATTATAATTATAGTATTATTAAATATAAAAATATAGAAATTTATATAATAAGCTATATATAAAGATTTGAGAAGATTTAAATTACCTCGAATTATTTATAATTAGTAAAGTAAATTAGTTAACTATATAGATTAAGTATAGTTTAATTATTATTAGTATATTTTAGCTTTTACGAATTAGTAAGAGAAAGAATATTTTTATTTTTATTTTTATAACTATAATACCTAAAATTATAATTTTTTTAATATTTAAATATACTTAACCTAGGGCTATTAAGTACTAATATTTCTATTTTCAGGTATTATTTATTATAAATTTATTCGGATTTAAATAATTATATTAAATATATATCTTTATATCCCAAAGATAAATAATAAAGATATAGCTATACTAACTTTAATCTTAGCCTTAACCTTAACCTTAACCTTCTTCCGAAAATAACTTCGATTCCGATATATAATACTATTATTAAAGCTTTTCTTTATTAAAGATATATCAAATATGGCTTCAGGTAGCGACTCTAGTAAAGGCAAAAGTAATAGAAAAGGCAATAAAGCTATAAATAAGCGAAAAAATAATATTTATAATATATCCTCTAATAATCTAGACTCAGTCTATAATATTCTCTCTCATTAATATATTTAACTAATAAACCCCTCTGCTTCTTAACCTTCTCCTTATATATAATCTCCTCTTTCTTCTCTATAATAATACTTTAATCTCCTTATACTATCTAATAATACTACTAAAGTAATAAAGCAAATTAATAATAAGACTAAAGTTAGAGAGATAGAGCTATACTAGGGCAGGGAGCTAAAGGGATTAGAGAAAGGCAAGGCAAATCTGGAGGCAAGCTTGGTATATACTTGCGGAACCGAATCCTCTCAAGCTTATACTACTTATAGTAATAAGAAGAGACCGAGGGGCCCTTTTAAATACTATATAGTTATAAAAGGCGAATTCGATAGTACTTATACAAATTATAGATATAATAATAACGGTAAAGTCTATACTTTCTATTAACTCAATACTAATCCTACTAAGTCTAGAAAGCCTCGCTCCGTATCTGCAAAACCCTTTATACCAAAGCCTTGACCGCCTATAAGATATAGAAAGCAAGTACAAAGATAGATACAAGGTCAGAAGGTAATGGGGAAGAAGGTTATAGTAGAGGAGAGTGAGGATACTAGAGGAGAAGGGAACGAAGGAAATATAGATAATTCGAGTAATATAGGCAGTATGGAGGATACAGAAAGTAAGGGAGATAGAGATGTGCCTCGTAATCCATGGGATTTGCCTTACGGACCACGCAAGCTAAGGGGGGGTTAGGAGTAGTCGAGAATAAGGCGTATATGCTATACTTTTTTTTTTTGGTGAGGTGTGGGTGCGAAAATCAGAAAATCAGAAAATCACTTTTCGCTTCTCGGATTTGTCCGCTAGCCCGCTAAGGTTAATGGCCTCAGTAGAGCCGACGAGCTGGCCTTCAATGTCCAGAGAAGAAACGGAACAATTGAAATGATTATGAAAAAGAATGTTCCAAAACTTAATGCGAAAAAATATTGTACTGTATTGAAGGGTCGACTGCGAAGATCTCACACTTCGTGATTGCTGCGCCAACTGCCCTGAGTTTCTCTTTTCAATCACGTGGGAGCATGGGTGGTGGATCGCCGACGCTGATCTCGAGGAAAGTTGGCCAAAGTCCACATCTTGACAGCAAACCTCCCGACGCGTTCAATTGCACCGCCTGTTCTCCCCTCTGTACATATCATAATAGATGGACTCATTGTAGTCGAGATTTTCCCTTTTCGCATTTTCGTCGCGCCCCCGCCCCCGACACTCCTTCAAGATGGGCCTCGTGTCCTTCATAACGGGCTTCGTCGCCCCTATCTTCATCATCATTTCGCCCATCACTTCCTACGCCGACCAGACGTATTCGATGCACCGGGCGAAATCTAGCGCTGGATTTTCGTTAGATATCCCGTTGATTATGCTGGTTGCATCGATGCTGAAGTATGCTGCACTTCCGGCTTCCCGAACCAACCTTTGCTGATGGGAACATTATAGAGTGTTCTACTATCCAGGCGCGAGATTCGATACAGCTTTGCTCATACAAGCGTTCATTATGATTGTGATTCAATTGGTGCTATTGAAAATAGCCCTCGACCACCGACCGTCCCCTTCGTCGAAGGGAGGAGAAGCAGCAATCCCGTTCGCCGGGGCAAGAGACAGAGAATTCGACATTCCAAGACCGTATAATTTCTGGCAATGGCGGTCCCATAAACCGTGAGTTGATTCCAAGCCCGCACAGAATCTGCGAGCGAATGCTAACGGATTTTCATGCAGATACTGGCAGTTCCTCCTCTACCTCTTCATCTCCCTGGTCGCGCTCGAACTCCTGATCTCCCCTATTCCAACCCTTTACGCCCTCTACTCCGCAGGCCTCGGCGCCATCGGCCTCTCCGTCGAAGCCACACTCCCGCTCCCGCAAATCCTGTCCAACTACAAGTCTCGCTCCTGCAAAGGGTTTCGTGTCTCCGTTATCGCAAACTGGATTGCTGGTGATATCATGAAGATGTTTTGGTTCTTTACGGCGACCAGTGAGATACCCTGGACGTTCAAGCTGTGTGGCATATTCCAGATGTGCTGTGATTTGTTCTTAGGCGGCCAGTATTTTGTGTATGGGGATGGGGAAGCGGGCAAGATGGTGAAAGAGCATGCTCAGGGATTAGGGATGGAGATGAGGATGAATGGGCATGCGAATGGGCCGAGGGCGAGGACACCGGCTGGAGAAAAGGATGCGTACTTGGGAGATTGAGCTAGATTAGAATTACACGTTTTCGACAAGCTGCATTTACCTTTGAATCCGCTGCTGGGACTCCCTTGCTAATGCTTCTAGTCTGCCGCTTTGCAGATGACCTCGAGGCCATCTTCTTCTCTTGTGCTACTCAATCCGTCAACCTTCATTGTTTGCTTCCACTCAACCCAGCAGTTCCTCTAAGAAGCAACTTTCTGCACATACCCGGAACATGCTCAACTCTTCTCCTCGGCCATAACCCCGCTCCCGTTGCTCCCAAGGATGAGAGGTTGATTATGATCTTTGTTTGCTTTAATTCTTCGACTGTCAATATTCCCTCAGTTGGTGGGCGGTGAAGATACCCCTGCTGCCACGCTGCCAGGGTGGAAGCAATGCCAGGCGTTCTTCGCGATTGGCCAATGGCTCTCGAGACAGCCACAACTGTCAAATCTCACAATTCCCAGACAAACCTGTACAGACCGAGATTGCAAAAACTATGATCGACAGAAATGATAGGCTCGCGGATCCGGGGGAGGAAAGGTACAAGGTTGAGAGGGGGCAAATTGTGGCAGGTTTTGGCGCAGGGCAGATCTCGCTTCGGCAAAGTGAAAGATCGTGAGGGAGCGTGAACGTCAAGGAAACACCTGCTTGCGCCTCGAGACCAACCATGGCAACCACCACCTCAATTGATCCTGTTGTGTGGGGATACAATATTCTGATAATGAGATACAAGTATAGAAACTTCAACTGGCTTCTAGGAGTAAGATTCCATGATTTTCCAAGCAATTGTGCCTTCCAAAGCCCTTGAGGCTCCGCCCGCCTTTCACACCTTTGCACGTTGACTTCACAAGCCTCCGTAATCCAGAAGCCTCTCGCTTTCATCCCCACGGTGAATCTCGAGCCTTCTCTCGAATTTTGCGTGTCTAGCCTGGCCAACTTCCCGTCCTTTCGAAATAGTACTTAAGACCCCCCCTCGTCTCGCAACCCTCCTCTTCCTCTTCCCATCAACGACCTCAACCACAACCTCTTTCGCAAGACAACCCAAGTCAACGCAATAATAACAATAACAACAACGCCTTGCTCTTCGCATCACACATCTGTATTACTCTTTCCTGTTTTCTTCGTCCAATCCTCAAACCTTCTCTCGACCACAATCTTCTTCCCGCCAACTCTCGCTGACCTTCTTCCCACCAGCTCGTTGATCTCGACCTCAAGTTGAACCACCATCGCATATTACCTCACGATATCCAAACAAACTTCCCAAATGTAAGTGATCTACTCTTCAACTTATTTTCGATCACGCTCTCCTCCTTCCATTCATCTATTCCCGTCGCAGCACAATTCCCATCTCCCCAACCACCCCACATCCGCCTTCTCAGCTCAAACTTCAACTTTCCCCAAAGCACCTTTCAACTTCCAACCTTCCACCCCAACTCTAAAACATCTTCCTTCTCCCACAATACCACATCTCAAACCATCATCCATCCACCATCGCAACCTGCAGTCATCGCACAGATCTATCTGCATCGCTGTCTCTGAGCCATTCTCACTCGCTTTCAACTTTGCAACTGCATCGACTGTACTTTGGTACTTGTCATACACCTATCACGTCATCTTCATCTTCACTTTTCCTACCCCGCTTCTCTCGACCTTGGGAGACTTTGATGCATTTTCAAATTCAGTTTCGCTAACTGCGACGTTTGACAGTCACTTTCGGTAACTGGTCAACACCGCCAACAAAATGCCCAACTGGAAGTCGTACGAGAGCTCTGTTCGCCTTCTTTCGGCCATCCTTGCCGCTCACCCCGGTCTGAAGCTAGACTATAACGGTATGTGACACCTTTCCTTATCTCTTCGCTCAGCCATCCTCCCATCTCATCGTTTCCTTCAGTCAATCTCATTAGTTTGTGAACTCAAAAATTGCGGTTCCTGATAATGCTGGCGAATCTAGAGGTCGCCCGTTTCTGGGGAGATGGAGTTAAATACAAATCTTGTTGGGACAGATGCAGTCTCATGCACAAGAACGCCAAGCTCCTGAGAGATGCAGTCGAGGCTGGCCTCGATCCCTTCAAAGTTGAATTGATCGATGCTCCTTCCAAAGTCCAAGGTAACAAGGGCAAAATATTCATTGTTTCTTGTCATTTGCACAGAGCACCGTTTCTTTCCGTTTTGCGAGATGTTGTTGGCCTCCGTTGATATCTGTCAGACATTGCTGCTAGGTTCGGTAGTGACTGCACTGCATCTGCTCTCGAGAATCGATTCCGCCCTCTCAAGAGAGATGCCAAGTTGATCAATGACTCGATTGCCAAGGGCATTGATCCGAAGACGCTTCCCATTGGCGCTGAAACAAAAGGGGCTGGTTTTCCGAAAGGTGTCCGGCGTGTTTCCCCAAATACTTCAAAGCACTTTACACATTTCCTTACGTTTTGGGATTTTGAACAGCACTCCTCAAAGAAGAAGTCTTTATTGATATGTAGTGCAGAGATTGCTAGATATTTTGGGTCTGATGCCACCAAATCCGCCATTGAAAGTGTCTGGAAGCGACAAGTCCGCCCAGGTGTCAAGGCCATCACCGATGCCTTGGATCAAGGTGGCGATCCCAAGGATGTTAACCTTTTGGGTACTTTCTGGACTGGCGGAAAGGGAGCCTCGGGTAGACCTTTTAAAATTTCTGCCTTTTTCACACAACCCATTTCCTTTTGTTTAAGCATCTGCGCTGCAGTCTTTATGAGTCTGGTGTGGCTTGTTGTTTCAGCCTCTGATGCTGATACAAAGCCATCCAAAATGTCATGTTTGCTCGGGTCAAGAAAGGTGTCCGACAGATCAACGAGGCACTCGCGCAAGGCGGAGACCAAAGACATTGAGATCAACGCCTTGCGGGCTGGCGGTTGTCGTAGACCCTTCAGCGATCTCCCCATAAGCACATAACACGTTTTCCTTTCGTCTTTACACGAGTTGAGCATCGCCGGTGGATCTCATATTGATTTGGCCTCCAGAGATCGCCAAGTGCTATGGCACCAACTGCACGAAGTTTGGTCTCGACAATCATTTCAAGAGAGACATCCGACCCAACGTTAAGTCTATTCGCGACGCTCTCGCTCGTGGCGATGATCCTAAGGATCTTACCATGATGGAGAATGTTCGGGACGGCAAAATCGGCAAGGGTCAGAGCGCACACCATGTCACATCCTATACACATTGCACGTTTTCCTTGCGTCGAAGTTTTTGATGATTCTTTCATTGGGGTTGCTGTTGATGATCGCCATAGAGATTGTCAAATTCTACGGAAGCCGCCTCACGAAGCCGAGTCTCATGCACCATTTGGGTCGTGATATCAGTCCTAATACCAAGCTCTTGAAGGAAGCTGTCGGCCGAGGTGAAGATCCCGATTCGGTGATCTTGATCGAAGGTGTCAGATCTGATAGAGCTGGAAAGGGTCAGACAATTCACCACAATCCATCTTGCACACTTCACGTTTTCCTTTTGGCTTTCGCTCTTGCACTGCGTCATCTTGGGAATTCATATTGATGCTGCCTTCAGAAATTGCCAAGTGCTTTGACCTTGAGCTCAAGTCTGGTGCTCTCCAAAAGCACTTCGTTCGCAATATCACACCTAATGTCAAGCTCGTCCAAGAGGCTCGCGCCCGAGGTGAAAATCCAGTTGGCGTCATCCTGATCGAGAACGTTCGAGATGGCAAGCCGGGAAAGCGTTAGGCATCTTTCAATCCCCCCAGCACACTGCAAGTTTTCCTTCTGTTAGGTGGTTTGTCAATGTCGGCAGTATCTGAAGCCGCTATTGGTATTCCTGCAGAGATCGCTCGTTGCTTCGGCAAATCGGCAACAGCCAAATCCATCATGAATATCTTCGACCGCACTGTCAGACCTGATGTCAAGCTCATTCTGGAGACCTTGAAGGCCGGTGGCGATCCCGAGAAAATCTCCCTGGCTGGTATTGCAAAGATCAGCGGTGGTTCCAAGGGTCAGACATCTGTCTTCACGCAATATTTTTCACCCTGCACGTTTTCATTACGTCTGCTTATTGCTCCAGTGCATCAATATATTGATGACTGCTGCAGAAATCGCTAGGTGCCTTGATCCCGAGCTCAAGCCTGGCACTCTTAATCAACACTTTAACCGCAACATCAACCCCAATGTCAAGCTCATCAAAGACGCTCTCGCCAAAGGCAAAAGCCCAATGGGTGTCACTTTGGTAGGAAATGTCAAGGATGGTGGCGGCGGAAAGTGTTAGAGAGCTCCCCATTAGTCATCCTGTTTTACACGTTTTCCTTATGTTCAAGCATGTTTATTGATTTTACTTCCAGAGATTCAACAGTGTTTCGGATCCGATGCGACAGCTGGTGGCATCAAGTTCCAGTTTGCGACTCGTATCAAGGCCGATGTCAACCTCATCAAGAATGCTCGAGCAAATGGCATTGACTGCAAGGGCATCATGCTTAGCGGAGCAAACGAGGGTTCGAACTGTGGCAATGGTAGAAGACTTTGCTTTTAAATTTCTTGAATGTTCTTTCAATTTCAGCACCCCAAAACACATATTGATTAGTGCACAGAGATTTCGAGCATCATGGGCAGTGATACCACACCCAATGGCATCAAGTTCCAGTTCACGGATCGCTTCCGGCCTATTGCCAAGCGCCAGTTGGACATGAAGGCGGCGGGCCTAGATCCAAAGGACGTCAATCTTGACAGTGTCAAGGGCAAGGGAGCTCAGGGTCAGGGAGTTCTTGATACACTTTCCATTGCACGCTTTCCTTGCCAGCACGATTTTTTTGTCAGTGATCCACCAATTGGACATCTTATTGATGAGATCCACAGATATCAGCAAGTACTTCGGCAGCGACAGCACCGCAGGTGGCACACAGTTTGTACTCCGTGCCATTCGGGCTAATGCTGATCGCCAGCGTGCTTGCGCTGATTCTGGTGGCGATCCAAAGGACCTTGCATTGAACACAATTGGAAGCAAGCAGAGTCAGAGATTGAAAATTCCATTCTTTACACAGCACATCACGTTTTCTTTGGTCATGTTCAACCAACCACTTATTGACGAGCATTATAGAGATGGCGAAGTTCATCGGTAGTGACTGCACTAAGGGTGCTTTGGAATGGCAGTTCCGCCGTTACAAAGCAGGTGCAAAGTTGCAGATGGCTGCTGTGGCAGCAGGCCAAGACCCGAAGAATATCAATGTTGATGTCAATCCTCAGGGCAAGCCGGATGGCAAGGGTTCTGGTGGAACGAACTGTACCTCTTGTCTTCTTTTCCTTGCAGCACAGCCCAGCACAGCACAAGATCGATGGATTGACACATATTGACTGGTTTGCAGCTATGTCCCGCTTTCTCAATGATGGGAGAACACCGTCCTCACTTGAGCACACGTTCCGCCCTATCAAGAAGGATGCTGAGGCTATGAAGGCTGACACATGTTTGCGCTCCCCTAGGCTATTGCCTTCCACACCGACTTCTCTGCGATGATTCATTTCATTCCGTCTTTCCTTTCGTTCTCCTCCGAGCTGTCATCAACCACTCATATTTTGACTGAACTTTTGCTAACTTTTCTACAGCCATCGCTCGTGAATACGGCGAGGGCGTTACAGGTAAAGCTGTCTCCACATACTTTGAGCGCGCACGTAAGGATCCAAGTTGGAACCGAGCTAACACTACAGAAGAGAATGGTTCCGCGAAAAAGAACCAAACGCCAAGAAAGCGCAAGGCGCCCGCTAAGAAGATGAAGGACGAGGGAGACGACGATGAGGAGGATACCGGCAGCAACTTTGATGAGACTCCGACAAAGAAGAAGGCCACTCTCCACAAGGTCCAGAGCGGCCGTGTTAAGAAGCCATCCCCCCGTTCCCGTGTTGTTCCATCTTCATATGCTGAGCTTTCGGAGAATGACGAAGAGGATGGAGCGGTCAACGAGGAGTCCATGGAGAACGGCTCTGATGGATTCGTCGACAATGGCTATCACAATGGTAACGGCAATGGCAACGCTGATGACGGTATGAATGGCTATGATGACCAGGAGGGCCTCTACTACGACGTCGAAGAGGAAGCTTAAGTCTCCTGCCTTAGACTTCCCGCCTTTCTCTGCCTCAACAATCTGCAGTCTCTCTCGCAACATGCAGTAAATCGACAATTCATCTTGGCCCAGATCGACTTCGGCTCTGCAACCTCATTTGTACCATCTCAGCGGTTTTCCTTCGGCGTGTCAGCGTCTGGTCTTGATTCCCTTTCAACTTCTTTCGACTTGATTCAACACGTCGATCTTCGGCGCCCGGCGCATTTCAACAATCGGCTTCGACAAAATACCACCAAAATTTCCTTGCTTGTTTCTTTCGCCATTTCACAAAATTTCCCGGCGGTGTTCCGGATGATCATACAACATACAACATATTCGCCATCGCCACCACACTTCCTCGGCTTCTTCTTTCCAGAAAAAATGAGGAATATGACTTTGGTGAGAAAGTCCATCTTCTCTCTTTCCTGGATAGAGATTGTGTTGAACCGCGGATTCCTTTCAATCTCGACAACGACGGATCTTTCGACTGGCTGGCTTGCTTTGCTGGATGATGGATAGTTGGATTGGATTTCAGGGGTCTTTGCCCGGTTGTACTTTGCTGGTTGGCCTTTACAGATGGTTCATTACATGACATTTCCCCCTCTTTCCCTTCCACACCACATGTACACCCTTCGCGTGGCATTCAGTTGCTGGCAGCTTCTCTCTCGGCTTTCGGAACAATGGATGGAGGACACCTCGGTGGGGAGGGAGAATTCGTCTACGTTGCCTGGGGTCTGGGATTGATGATTGGGTTTGTGGTACTTCAAAGAATGGGGTCTCATTTGAGGATGATGAATGGGGGATGAATAGATGGCACTGCCCTGAGGGAGCGGTGTGATACACAGGGTGTTCTCTTTTCGGGGCTGGGTGGACTGGACGGTCTGCGTAGTTAAGGAATTGAGATACCTTTTCTTTGATCTTGAATGTGACTGTGACTGTGGCTATGGCTGTGACTGTGCTGTGTTTTGATTTGTGTTATGAAGATTGCGTTGATGTGAGGGGGAGTGGGGATGGGTGGTGTTGTGAGATTAGTGCTGCCGTGGAGGAGGCTTAAATTCCCTTCATATAAGACATTTTGATTTGTTGATCTTACAGAGCTATTTCGACTCCGAAGAGAAGTGTCTCAAGCCAGCGAGTCCTTACGAGCACCTACGTTTGTCTCATTCTCCTGCCACAGCCTGGACATTCATAAACCACCACATCTTCTCAACAACGATATCTAGGACATCACCAAGTTGAGAAGTCAAGGTCCAAAGAGGAAGTAGTTGAATGTCTCAGAAGAGGAAGGAAGAAGCATAATCAAACGCCTTGATATTCCCACCCATTGCTCCATTCATCCCTCGTCTACTAGAACAATCTTTTTCTGCAATCCATTCACGCCTTTTCATATCCGCAATTTTTGCAACACCATACGCCCGCAGCCATCGCAATGCTGCAACCCAACTCCTCATTCCTCGTTCCCATGCTCCATTGTCCCCGTTTCTCGGAATATTTGAGAACAGATACAAGGAGGGAGAGGAGAAGGGTGGGGGGAGGTAGCTTAATCAAGCAACATGCTCCACAACCCCTCCTTCTCGACATACCCGTGATGAATAATATTAACCAACCACACATCACTCTTAATCCCCTCTATTAACCCCCTACTAACCTGCCCCTTCTCTCCTGGTCCATATACCCGTCCCCACTCCCCCCAAATCCCAAACGCCTCTTCCGCCCAAGCCCTGAAGCTCACCTCTTCAATGATCGTCGGGGTGATGATTTCCTTGCCGGGGAAGGCGCCCCAGGTTACTGCGTTCGTGGAACCATTTCCGGAGTTGCTGGAAGACGAGGAAGAGGACGAGGTATCAGAGGAAAGGTAGTCGCCTGCGGCGTTCGATGCATACCATGATACCATCGACGATATATTTTCTTCAGAGAGTTTTTGCCTCAGGATTTTCCAGTCTGAAGATGGGATGAAGAGTTCGACAAATGCTTTCTGGAACACAAAGCCATTTCTTGGTCCCCAGCCGAAGACTTGGTCTGTACTCCGCACGCCGTTTACCGCTGGCTGGGAAGCTACTGTCCACCATCCTTTCTGGTTTAGTTTTAAGAGTTGGGATTTAATGGTGTTAGTTTCTTCATTCAAACCCTCTTCGTTCCACGGGATTGCGGAGAGAGAACCTTCGATGTGCCGGAAAAAGAGGTCTGTGATGTCGTCTCGAGAGGTAGGGTAGCCCCAGAGCTTGATCGCTTGGTTGATAGACATGTGTAGGCTGACACCATAACCATCTATTTCTCCATAAGCGGGACTTCGGGCGTCTCCCCATCGCCCGTTGGGGAAATCATCCCATGTTGCTTCGCGGCCGAGAGAGCCTTCGCCTTCGGAGATAGCGAGCGTGTTGGCGCGGGTGTTGACGGGTTCGGCGGGGACCCCAGCTTCGAGACCTGTGGCTTCGTAGGAGGGGTTCGAGGTTCGGGGCGCGGTAATGATGATTCGGTTGTGCGGGTCTGAGCCCACTGAGCTTTGGCGGCGGGTACGGCGGTGGCGAGAGTCGTTTGTGTGCGGGCCGTTGATACTGACGGTTTGTAGAGGGAGTGGGAGAGGCAAAGGTTCCTCTGTGATCGCGCACTCGATATCCGTTGGTGAGCAGGGGATAAGTTTTGTTCGTTCCAGGATAAAAGAGACTGCTTTCTCCAGATTGAGAGTGTAGAAATGGAAACCCCTTGGTTGTGGCGACGGTGAGTTCTTGATATGCGTGACGATCTCGCTCACGATGTCCACCCCGACCTTCTTAACCATCTCATCATCGCCCTTCACCACATCCAGCCTCTCCATAATCTTGCTTGGCATCTTTGCATGGCTCAATTTCGTCGTCCTCTTAATCATCTGGTAACTCTGAATCGGCATCATGCCCGGGATAATCGGCAACGTTTTGAAAAGACCACTCTCATGGTCCCTCAATCTCTGCTCAAACCGATCGTATGCGTCGATATCAAAGAAAAGCTGCGTCATGATGAAGTCCGCTCCAGCCCCGACCTTCTCTACCAAATACGGCAGATCGTGCTCCAAGCTCTGTCCTTCCGGGTGACTCTCATCCGCATGTCCCTCCGGGTATGCCGCCACGCCAATGCAGAAGTAATCCCCATACCCCTTCCTGATATACCTCACCAAATCAACCGCCCATTCAAACTCCCCCTCCGCTCCACCATCGCCATTACCATTACCATCCTTATAATCGCTCCGCGGCGGATCTCCCCTCAGCGCCAATATATTCCTAACCCCCAACGCATTCGCATCTTCTAATGCCCTGTCAACCATGTCCCGCTTCATATTCGTACAGGTCAAGTGCAAGCACGTCGTGAGGCCCAGCTCCCGCTGACACAGCTCCGCGAGCTCCATGCTCCTGTCTGCTGTTGAGCCGCCGGCGCCCCAGGTAACAGTCACGAAGAGGGGGCGCAGGGAGTGCGACATCCTGTCGAGACGCGCGCGCAGGTTTGAGGAGCCCATGGGGGTTTTGGGGGGGAAGAACTCGAGGGAGAAGTAGGGCGTGCCCGGAGGGAGGGCGGCGATCTTGGTAGTGATTTTCTCCATTTTCGATGTGCCTTTGAGGGAATTGAAAGACAGGGGAGTGAAAGGAGCTGCAGAGAGGAGATTGAGGCTCAATTGGGGTTCTGCGGACTCCAGAGGAGAGGTTGTAGTCGTTGTGGTGAGGAAGAGGAAGCAAGGCTGATTGTATTTGTGGGGCATGCGATGTGGGGTCGATGGGTGAACTTCGGATGTTTGGGGTTACATGGTAGACAGGCCTTTTCTTTACAGGTGAGAGGTGACACCGATGATGTAGATGTGTAAGGATCAGATTGTCTATATTTGCGTCTAATAAGCTTCGTCATTGACATGTTTGTCCTACATTCGTAATGACATCAACAGTATTCTTCCCGGTCTATCTTGAATATCCCAAACCCCCATCTAACAAGAGGAAGTATCTTAACAAGCAAATTCCATTCCTAAATCCGTCAATTCGCCGTCCATCTGTTTTCCACTGATCTCGGGATCGATATCCTCCATCTCCTTCTTGTCCTTGATCAACCAGAACGCCTTGATCCCCTCAGCAAATCGTTTGGCGCTCTTGCCAACCTCCTCCTCGGTAACAGCAGCAAAACAAAGTCTATAATATTTCCAACCCTCCTTCTCCATAATTTCTGGTGTAGGACTGAATATCAGACCCGGAGCAGCCAGCACCAAATACGGCGTGGTAGTCAAGAAGATCCAACACAGCTGTGCCATCTTCGGCCCAGGGATCTGGCCAAAGAGAGGGTGTGATTCATAATGCATCTGTATCCAGACAAACATCCCTCCTCGTGGCCAATCAAATGAGTACATCTTGGTCTTGGAGATCACCGCCCAATCTGACTCAGAAGTCTTAGTTGGGGTTCCCTGCTTGAGTTGGAAACGGCCCTCCTCCAGAGCAGAGCACATCCGGTTCATCCGTCTCTCGTAGACACCACGGAGGCCGGCAAGCCAGCGGACCCAGCCATCTGTCTTCCATCCTGTGAATGTAACCTGCTCCTTTTTGGATTTCTTTACAAATTCGGACATGACGGGCTGAGGGCCCATGACCAGCTCAGAGATCATGGATTGAACAAACCCACAAGGTTGCTGTGTGCATGATTCCGAAATACGAACGATGCGTTCAACGATTGCTGGTTGGGCCGTAATCCATCCCAGTCGACAGCCCGGAGCAACAGTCTTTGAAAACGTGTCCAGACGAATGACTCGGCCATCATAATCGATATTCAAGTACGATGGAACAAGACTATCAAGGAACGGGTAGCCTGATGACTTTTCAAAAGTGTGCACCGGTGCGGCAGCCGGAGCAGGGAGATTTCGAGCCTCTGCTTCGAGTGATGCAGCAGAAGGGAATTGCAGATACCAGTAAGGGTCATCTTCAATAATCATCACGTCGTACTTGCTGCAGAGAGCATAAATGTCCTTTCGTCGTTGGACGGAGAGTGTTCCTCCAGTGGGGTTTTGTCCAATCCTTCAATCCGTGAGCAGAATATTTTGGGAGCGAAGAGTAACACTCACGTCACAGTATACATCAGATGAGGTCTCCTCCCCTGGGAGTCATCCCAATTCTCCAGAACGTCTTCCAAGCCACCAGAGCCAGTTGGAAGCATACCCTCCATATCCATCTTAACCGGCACGACTGCAATTCCTCGCGGTCTGCACGACTGTACGGCACTCATGTATGCGAACTCCTCGCACAAGATAGCCGGTCTCTCCCGAATCCAATCTCGTTCCTCACTCCAGACATTGGTCAAGCATTCGAGTGTTTTGGATAGCCCATCAGTATTTCCGCAGGTGAGGGCTATATCTGGTCCACCCTCATATGGTATATTTGGTTGTAAGTTCTCTCGTGTGAATTGTCGGAGAAAGGAGTAGAGAGGAGGATAGCCTTGGGTTTGACCGTACTGAAGGGCGGTTGTCAAGTCGATCTTCTGCATGGGGTCTGCAACCGCTGACGCATGTGGGACGGTAAGATGTGCTGCGACAGATACATCTTTATTGTCTTTCTTGAGGGAGGTTGCGGCAAGGTGCTCCGAGAGATCTTTGTTGGGATCATTGGGGTCGATGGGAGTGGGTTTCCATCGTTGAGGTTGTGCGATTTGTGCTTCGAGAGTATCGAATGGGAATAAACTGGCATTAGGAAGTCCTGTGCAGTGCTGTTAGCTACCTGCTTCCCCATGCGGTGTGTGGCGGATGCTGTTCGAGAAGTCCATCATGTCATGGAAGAGCTTCATACATACCACCAGCCAGGTTTCTAATTCCCGGAATCATAAAGTACTTGTAGAATGACTTGACACTGCTTTCCTTCCTCGCAGCAGTGACTCGCGAGTAATGGTAGCTGAAATCCTTCGGGGGCTTAGGCCCTTTCAATTCCATCGCATCTGCTTGATTAATGTACTCGAAGTCTGCCATCTTGACCTTTCCTCTCTTGCAGAGGCGTTTATTATGATGAAATTGGAAATATGGAACGTGAAAAGAGAAAGATGAAGCTCAACACAGTACACTTGTCGTGCATTGAGCGATAAGAGATAGCCAAAGGGCAAAAGAGTGGGTTGGCCTTCTTACAAATCAAAGCACGGGCGAACGAAAACGGGAACTCCGTGCTGGAGAAGATGATGATTAGCTGACAAAGAGAAGTCGCCGGAGTTCATCTTGGCCGTCGGTCAACGGGGCAATTGCTGACCCGTAAGGTGAATTATTCCTGAATATACATCTGAAGATATATACACAGGTAGAAGACCCGAAAACAAGTGGCTCACGTCAATCTGCGGGGAATTTTCGGGGCCGACGCCGAGAAACGTTCCACCAACGCGGGGTGCAGATGAGCACGACATCGACCGCGCAATGATGGGAGGATGAGAGCCTCAATCACTTCCAGTTCGGCATTCGTGATCACGATGCCACAACTACACACATTCATCGATGTCCCATCCCACCAGCATCTAACCCATTCTCCAACATCTCTCCTAGCGTGTCCCAACTCCTGGCCTCTCCTCCCCCGCCAGCCCGTGCGACACCCCTCAAACCACTTGCTACAAAGCGTACCCATCTATCGAAGTCCGTCTTCATGTTTCTCAATTTCTCAACATACAACAGATCCCCCTTTTCGTCAAACGTTGATGAAAGGATGCTAAGATCAACATCGATATTTTGTTCCTCATCATCGGAGCTTGATTCAGCTTTTTCCTTGGCCTCTTTTAACACGGGCTGAGAACGACCTTTCCTTTGTGGTGTATGGAGACCCAAGCTTGCCATCGAAAGATCCATCATCTCTTGCTGCTTTTCCAAAGCTTCTTTATTTGCAGCTGCATTCGCCGCTTGTGCATCTTCAAGTTTGATTCCTAGATCCAGGATTTTAAGAATTGTTTTATGAATTAGCTCTAGCTTGCTGCCGAGAAGAGCTTGGTCAATTGTTGTTTTGATGTAGCAGGCATGGACTTCGATCATAGTATCAACGTCTTCGGTGGCTTTGAGCTCTGCTCGCATTTTCTGGGATAAGGGTTCTAGAACGAGGGAGGTGAGGTAGTAATACAACATTTGGGTAAACCATAGAAGCCGGGTTCGTAATGAGTAGTAGAGTGCACGTTCGTCGGAGCTGCTGGACTTTGTGAGTCCATCGGTAATCAGGCGCTGGCGCGAGAGAATGTGGGAGCTTCGGCGAATTTGTAGGAGGAAGGTAAAAATCTTTTTGTAGGTTGAGATCGTCGCTGGGGTGAGGATTATCTGGATGGGCCAAGAGAGATGATATTTGAGCTCGAGGATTGAAAGGACTTTGACCGTTCTCCTACATTTCGCAACGTCTTGATGCTTTCGGGAAAGGGTGAGGACGGACGTTCGTAGACGATCTGAGGATAGGGACGGGATTGCCCCGAAGGTGCTCTGAGCTAATTCGGTGAGTGTGAAGCGATCATTCCAAGATAAGTCCAAGGTGTCGAGCTTGTCGAAAATTGAGTTAGTGAACACTGAGGCAGTGGTTCCATCGGCGAAGAAGTACAAATGGGACAGAGCATCAAGTGATGTTTGGAGGCCACAGGAGTCGAATAAGATTCTGCGAAGCATCGACGAAGCAGAGTGATGTTTGCTCTCTACCCAAGCATGAAATGCAGAGTCAAAGAGCTCCGGGAAAGGAGCGTATCCGAGAACTTCAGGGTTGCAGACGCTATCAAAATCCAGACTGAGCTCAAAGTCACCCCTCGCTGATTGGAGAAAATCAAACTGGTTGAGATGCTTGAGGACCACAACACTTTTTCCGGTCGTAAAGATCCTGTTAGCTGCTGCTTGAAGAAATCTCGGTGCATGTAGTACTCCATCTTGAGTCCTGCGGATCTTGAATCGTGACTGCCAAAGCAACGAGGGCTCAATATCTCCAGAAGCTTCCAAGATAAAAAAGACTTTGTCACCCTTAGTCAATTCCCCATCTTCCATCCATTTCCTGATAGGACGAAGATATATTTTAAAGCATTCGAAGAATATTCGTCCTATGAATGAGTAGATCACATCATCTCCAGCCAGTTGCGATGTGCAAGCTTCATCGTAGAGTAGTTCTAGATAACGAAATGCATGAGGGTATCGCTCGTCATCGAGTTTCTTGATAATCTCAGAGAGTCGAACCAGAGGCCGCAGATAGGAAGAAACTTCTGCTTGAACACTGAGGAGGCTGACGACAATATCCTTTGCCGGGTTGACAAATCGCTGCTGTATGTCCGATATTCGTGCGTCGAATTCGACCGTGCGGCATAGAATGGAGCTTTGTAAGACCTGCATCAATGGAATTGATTGATCCCGCCCTGCCCATGACCGCAAACGCATTACTGCAGTTCCTTGCTCGGAAAATGATCTCCCAACTTTAAAGAACGCGTCCGCAGAGGCATGCTTTAGAGCATACTTCCGTTTCGGGACTACAAGGTTCTCCCGTAATATTTCAAATAACGATGTTGGCAACCCCAAGAGCATGAAGAGGACTTCACGAATAGCCTGAAGTTCTGTAACTGTCGTCTTCACCGTTTCCAACTGGACTCCATCCACAGTATGAGTCTTCTGCCAAAATTGGGCATCTCGCAGTTGATCTAAATCCTCCTTGTTGATTGTATCAATAGCGTAGTCCTCCGGCCGCTGGTTGAACTCTTCATCTACGCTCGATTGCAGAGTTGTGTTTGTCAACCCAGAGAGTTCTGATCGACTGTCCTCAAATCCATCCTCTCCATCAGAGCTCTCGGCGCCAAAATCAACATTCTGCCAAACACTTTTATCTCGCAGAAGAGGATCTTCCGCAATAAGGTCTTCCCATTTCAAGGTTCGTCCTGGATCCGGTTCAGGTTCTTTCAGAAAATCGAGATTTTCGAGCTTTGACTTCTCAACTGGTCGATCCGAAAGCTCGAGGAGCAGATGTAGAATCTCGGGGGCCCATTTGACCTCCAATTTTGCCAGAATGTTCAGCCGTTCCTTGAGCGCATCTGCCAATGAGTCTTCAAGGAGGACTCGAAACTTCTCGTCCAGGCCATCGAATTGACTGGTGACATCGAATTGATTTGTTCGAGCAAAATTGTGATGCCGCAGAGCTCTAAGAGCGCTCTCTCGATGCAGATTGAATCTCGCAGGGTCAGACTATGTTTCTATTAGCCCAGGGTTTCTTATAGCATTAAAAGAGCGTTTGGGGAGATGCTGTTCGCCTTTGGAGAATTCAAGAAACAGAGCGAACGAACATACTTTTAGAGACGTAGACGTGAGCAAGGTTACAAGCTCTTCTGTCAGAGCTCCTAACTTGGTAGCGTACGCCATTATGTTTGCGTTAGTTGTGGAAGAAATCTTGGGTTCATCCGATGTCAACAGAAACGCGCCTGCCTCGGAAGACGCGTTTCATTCCTGAAATCTCAGGCAAGCGTTCGTGCTACGATTGAGTGGCGCCGCCCCGGTTCAGGGGTCGGCAAAGGGGGCGCCACTTCCAATTTATTTCCAGCTGCATAATTTTTGTTAGAAGCACGACAACATCTCACCATGGCGATAGCGAGACCAATTCGAATGCTGGGCCTGGCAGCTATATGCCTGTGGGTGTTCTTCTTATACGAGGTCTTTGGACCTGCGAAGCCTGCATCGCCATCCAAAATTATGGATCAGGAGCCTCTTCTTGATTGTACGCCTCCAGCCCTGCCCCTTTTCCCGGCAGACTGCTGATTTGCACTGTAGATACTGGAGAACCTGAAGGAGCCCCGTTATGGCGAGCAGAGAAAGGATACGGACTTGGCGCTGAGGGCACAAACCGAATCAATGCGACTCTCCTATCTTTAGTTCGAAACGAGGAGATTGAAGGGATGGTACAAGCAATGAGAGATCTCGAACGGACGTGGAACTCAAAATTCAATTATCCGTGGACCTTTTTTAACGATGTGCCATTCACGGAGGAATTCAAGACACGGACACAGGCAGAGACGAAAGCAGAGTGCAAATATGGTGAGTAGTGTCCTTTCCGCCGGATGACAGGCAGCTGATGGGCATTACAGAATTGATCCCAAAAGAACACTGGGAAGTCCCCTCTTGGATTGACGAAGAGATTTTCCAGGAATCAGCCAAAATCCTGAAAGAACAAGACATCCAGTACGCGTCCATGAAGTCCTACCACCAGATGTGCAGATGGAACAGCGGCCTATTCTATAAGCATCCAGCTCTAGAAAATACACAATACTACTGGCGAGTAGAACCGAAAGTACACTTTTTCTGCGATGTCGATTACGATGTTTTCCGATACATGCAGGACAACAACAAGACATACGGATTCACAATTAACCTCTACGACGCGCCGAAATCAATCCCCACGTTATGGCCAGAAACGGTCAAATTTCTGGCCCAACATCCAGAATACCTCCATGACCAAAACTCGATGCCGTGGTTGGTAGATACTGAGCGGAGACCAGATCACAACATGAAGGCAAACGGGTACTCGACCTGTCATTTCTGGTCCAATTTCGAGATTGCAGATATGAGTTTCTGGCGGAGTCAGGCGTATGAGGATTATTTCAATCATCTAGACCGCGCGGGAGGGTTTTTCTATGAGAGATGGGGTGATGCTCCCGTGCACAGTATTGCGTTGGGCCTGTTTGAGGATTCGAGCAAGATTCATTGGTACTTCTTCCCCTCTTTCAAGCTTCAGAGCCTGTGCTGATGATTCATAGGTTCCGTGATATCGGATACCAGCACATCCCGTATTTCAACTGTCCCAACTCTCCCAAATGCAAAGGCTGCATGACTGGCCGTTTCACAGACGGAGAGTCGTGGTTAATGAAAGAAGACTGCAGGCCGAATTGGTTTAAATATGTCGGAACGGGCTAGGCCGGGTTTGTTTCGGAAGGGTCCGTTGTATTATGAATTACATTGTGGAGTACAGATATTGAAGCATTTGGCAAGGCGTTTGGTGGGGTCAGGATTGGAAGCAATTGTAGAGTAATAATCATCTGTACCATCTGGATTAGAGGTCGGACGAATGGAAAAGAGATTCATGATCTGGGGTTTGTCTTCACTCCTCAATCTTTTGGCTAAGTTGAGAGTGCGTTGGAGTGATTTAGCAGTCAAGTGACAGTTGAAGCGTCTGATCAGAGCCCATGGAACCAGCAGTTCATCTCTTCAGCTCCTGTTATAGAACCCTCACTTCCGAGTGAAATCTAGGCGTGTTTGGCTTATCACAAGTGTGGTCATTTCCTTTACACCACTTTGGCCAACCACTCCCCTGTCACACCTACAATCTCCTCGCTATTCGTCTCCATAAACATCATATGCCCATTCCCCAAAACCACCCTGTCCACAAGCCTCACTTTCTCAGCCGTCACTCCCGCTTGCTTCAAAAATGCCGTCGTGCACCTTACGTAATAATTGGAATTGGATATTGTGACTCCCTTGATGATGTCGAAGGAGGAGACAGAGACAGGAGTCGTGTTCTCCACAAGAGACGGGCATATCGCTCATGCCTCACGCTCGCGTCGGTGTTCCTCCATTGAGCAAGGGCTCAACGAACGGGGGCCCCACGGCTTCTACTAAAATCAACGCTTTCACGAGGCTGGGTTGTTTATCCGCGAGCAAGACCGCACCGGCCGTTCCTTGTGAATGGGCGATTAGGATCACTTTCCGCCTGATGCGGTCCACGAGCACAATTACTGCGTTCTGGCCGAGGGTTTCGGTGGTTACTGGAAGGATGATGGAGGGGGGAAGGGGGGAGTAGTAGGCGTCGAAGGAGACGTGCCCCGGGTGCCGTTGCCGTAGCCGGCGGGCCTGGCGGTGTGGAGATGCGTTTGCGGTCAGAGTTTAGAGAGCTCAAGGGCTGTGAATCGCTGCTCGATGGCTTCGGCTGTTGTGGCTGTGAATACGGTGGCGTTGTTGGGTGGTGGAATCCAGGAGGAAAGGCCACGGGGTGGTTGATCTATAAGATAAACAAGGTATCCCTGGGCGAGAAAATGTGACGCCCAGCCGGAACGTCCGTCTGGTGCATTGAACTAATTCTGTGTTTCGATTAACATATATCCCATAAACTTAGAAGCTGAAGAATTCCTGTAGGGGAAAATTGACTTACTGTCTCGTCTGGCCTCGTCCGTGGATGAAGACGAAGGGAAAGGGTTTCGTGTTTCCATCAACAGGAGTCAACTCCTCGACATACATCTCATTTTCATAACATAGTCCCCAGTTGTCGAGGTAACATATTCTCCACTAACGTAGAAGCATTTTCAAGTATGTGGAGTCTGCTCAACTGCCCCTACAACCAATCTCCCACAGCACAAAGCCGAGAATCACGCAACTGTAAGAAATCTCATATTCGCCATACCTCTACGTATTGAGAAATTATGAAACAGTTTTAGAGAAGAGGAATTGCAGTTGAATTTATCTGGTAATTGCCTCGCATCCAATCTCGAGATCGTCCAGTTCGACCTACTAGAAAAGGGTTTCAACACGAGATGTGATCAGCACCATTCAGCCTATACGTCCAAGCATATACACCCCGCAATGATCTACCTCCGTATAAAGGTAGCTATCTCGAGGCGGACAAAGAAAGCCGCACTAAATGCGAACTCCCCTTGTTTGTCCACCACGAGGGTATATTAGACCAGTATGCCCAAGCTTGCAGTGGACAAAGAAAGCGGCACTGAACTCTCAATATCCCAAGGCAAGTTAGACCTTCGACCTTGCCTGACCTTGGATGGAATCCAAATATACTGGAAAGCCGTGAGGATTAAAGGGGTAGACGTTCGATGTACGATTGAGTCTGGACACTTAAAATGGGGATATTTGAAATGTTCCTTTCGACCTCGGACGTTCAAACCTCAGCTTCGCTTTTCTTGTCCATGGCGAGTCATGATAAAGTTTATATTGAAACTTTAGCGTCACAAGAAGACATGTACTCGATGTCGCCCATGGATTCGCAGTCACAACCACAACACCACCATAAATCACTGTCCCTGTCTAGCCATGAAATTGCGAAGCCAGTCTCCAACAGCAGAAGCCATCCCTGTCGTAGCAGCAGAGACAAAACTCCACAAGAGACTACACCAGAGTCAGCTTTTACACATCAAAAGACATATCAAAAGGGCTCAAGACAGAGTATCCACCACATTTCAAGAAACCAAACAAGATATCCAGCAACTTCTCTGACATATCAACAAAGCACGCTAAGAAAGAGGAAACCAAAAAAGAATTCGAGCTCAGGGATTGGAATGAATCATCAACATACCCCGTTTCCTCAGGTTCATCCGCAAGCACGATCTTCAACCCAACCCCTACCGACTTAAACAGCTGAAGTTGGAGAGATACTCATGACTTGTCTCACCCCCTGCCGCTCTCTCTTTTGTTTTGAAGTCAATTGGAAGATGCGCAGTTGTGAACATACCATGTGGCTGGGACAATGACCACATGTCAGCTCTGGAAAGAAGAGCGATTGAAGGGTAATAGATTTGACTGCAAAGTGAAGCAGTAGTTCTTTGAAGGAAGACTTTGGAAAAGGGGCTGTACTAGGCCCAATCAGGATGTCTACTCTGAAACTATCCTTTGCACGTGATTTGACCCCACCCGCACCTCAGTCCTCATGCTTTCCGATATCTTCAAAAGACTTCGCACAAGAGTCATGACCATGAACTCCCAGAAACAAAACCGCTGTCTCAGACTTACCAAAATATGCCTTCGCTGACTCCCTCGCCGCATGATATGCGTACTTTCCCTTATGAAACCAAAAAGCCCCCCTATTCTAGGAAACCTTTCGGCCGGCTCGTCCCGTTATGCACGACTTACGGCTGAAGTTCGTTGGCCCAATGAAGGAGACATAGTACTTGGGCAATTTTACGTACGAATCTCGCAGCCGCTAGGCTGTGGGGGGGTACGAATGCGAGAGCTACGAGTAATGTTCGTGCCCGAGGTTAATTCGGCTGGGTAAATACCCCCGCACAAGTCAATGTTACGCGTACTCCCCAAAACTTTGGACGGGACTGGCAGCCAAGCTTGAGATTAATCGAAATTGAGAGTCAGAAAGTTATTCTTGGAAGAACGGTCCAGATTGAGATCGAGGAACATCAAAGAAGATGGCACCCGAGACTTTTGAACAGAGGATGGAGAGGGCATGCAAGGATCGAGACATCCCTGGTGCGGTGTTGGTCGGTGGTGATAGAGGAAGTAAACGAGAGCTTGCCCAACTTCCTCGAAGACTTCTGACAATTTTGTAGGAAACTTCCGCTATGAGAAAGCATTTGGGTACAGAAGTCTCAAGGATCTTTCCAACCCCGACCCCATGCCCTTGGATGCAACGATGTGGCTGGCCTCATGCACGAAACTTATAGGTACAATCACTGCCCTGCAGTGTGTTGAAGTTGGACTGTTAGATCTCGATAAGGATATCTCGGCGATTTTGCCTGAACTTGGGCAGCTTCAGATCTTGAAAGGATTTGAACAAGGTCCAGATGGGAAAGACAAGCCGGTCTTGGTGGAGAATACGAAGGCGATTACTCTAAGGTGTGTATTTCGAGGACGGTGTGTGGAGTTTGTCAAAGCTGATTGATGTACAGGCATCTTTTGACTCATTCTTCGGGCCTAGGCTACGATTTCTTCAGTGAGTGCTTTAAGGTCTCCAGGAAAATATTTGCTGACCTTGGCAGATCCTGTACTTATGCGTTACCGCGCAACGCAGGGGATCACTCCCAGTCTGAAACTAATAAACCCCGTGAAAGAGGCCTTCACCTACCCTCTCCTCTTCGCACCAGGCGAAGGATGGGAATACAGCGTGGGTATCGACTGGGCTAACTGGGCTGTTGAGCGTGTGTCCAATATGTCCATCGAACAGTACATGGAGAAGTTTATCTGGGCTCCCCTCGGTATCAAGTCCATGACCTTCCATCCCAAGACCAAGTCAGCTTGTATGGAGAAGCTGACCGACATGAGCGTCCGTTCGGGAGGCCAGAATCCCATCTTCGGCATTCCAGCAGACCCGGAGGGGAAAGTCGAGTACACCGATGATCGTGTCTGGAATCTCGAATCGAGTACGATTTCTGCTGGAGCGGGGTGTTACGGCTCTGTCATCGATTACCAGAAGATCTTGCAGAGTATCTGTGCCAATGATGGGCAACTGCTGAATCCACGCATGGTGAACGAGATGTTCAAACCTCAGCTCTCGGAAGCGTCGCGCAAGGCATGGATGGCGATGCTTGCTATCCCCGAGATCAACCAGTTATATGGCGTACTGCCGCAAGGGATTCAAACTGATTGGGGACTGGGCGGGTGTCTGATTATGGAGGATTTGCCGGGCGCGACCAAGAAGGGCACGATGGCATGGGGAGGATACCCAAATCTGCAATGGTTTTGCGATCGGAGTGCTGGCATGTTGGGCATCTTTGGATGTCAGATATCCATGCCAGGAGATTTGAAAGCAATTGAGCTGTACAGAGAGTGGCGGAAGGAACTGTATAAGAAGTCTGGGACGGAGCGGCTGTAGAGGACGCACCACGGATATGGCAACCGCGGGGTGTACATACAGTTGCAGCGTTCAATTTCAAGAATATCACTGAATTTAAGGCTGCTATGAGAAGGTTGGGTGGTAAGCGCGTGTCATGTTATCGGCAAATTATCTGGAGGGAGCTTAATATTTTAATATGTAGTTTTAAGTATTTTGTGAGTACACAAACCCCCGCCCCTGGCTTGGTAAGTTTCCTTGCCTAGATCAAAAGCACACATTCTAACAACCGGTGGCTATCCGCAATCGACATTAAACTACGAAAAAGCGTTCAAGCTTTCCCTACTCAGCAAAGGTTAGAAGTAAAGAACCTTAGTAGTAGGAGTGTCACCACTCGAACCACTTCTGCAAACAGAGAAAACTAAACCTATCGAAGTTGGTCAACAAGGTTGCAGGTTTCACGGGGGAAAACAGTTCGCCCGGTTTCTCAAGTTTCTAGCGTTTTGCACCTTTCCCCCTTACTCTATGAGTTTAGGTTCTACACAGATTTCCCTGGTTCACTTTTTTGAAGCCAATAGCTTCATCTTCTTCCCAAGCGAAGTGACTTATTGACTTTGCCTGACAAGATGTTTGACTGCTGCACTTTTGTTGTTAATGCCTCCCAATACCTTTTAATAATTTCAAATGCTTACGCCTTGATTTGAGCTTTGAAGCAATGCAATCTGTCTGTTTTTCCAGCCTTAGCGAGTGTCAGCGGGGTGGGTGTTCTGGCTACACTGGAGGAAGCCACGATCCTCTAATCTTTCCTCCCTACCCTCCTCACAGCGTTCTTCTCTCTTTCATCTCAATGCCCTCATACATCAACACCACAACCTCTTTATCGCCATTGTTATCACACCCTAGAACAATTACCTCCCGCTCTTAAACCTCTTCTGCATTTAAAATGGCATACCTCTCTCGCACCTTCACAATGAACACCAACCACACCGAGACAGTGTTGACTCGAAAGGACCCGTTTAACAGGCTCTTCACCAAGATCTTCGACGCCCTACCACCCTCAACTCGAGGTCACGTCGTCGCTGTGGTCGGCGAGTTCCTTGGCACTATCGTCTTTCTTACGTTGGCTTTCGCGGGCGTCGAAACAGCCAGCGCGTCTTCGAACGGAAACCAAGGCCTCGGTGTCTCGACTACGGCAAAGCCACATACTTCGGCGCAGCTGCTGTACACCGCTTTGGTGGTTGGCTTCAGTTTGGCCGTCACTGCCTGGACATTCTTCCGCATCAGCGGAGGTCTCTTCAACCCTGTGGTAAGTGGAATGCTTCTCGATCCAGCATCAATCTCCGTCTCCCCTCCGAACATCCCGTGTTGACCAATTACTAATCAACAGATCTCTTTCGGCATGGCATTGATAGGTGCAATCACCTGGGTTCGGTGTGTACTCCTCATCGTCGCACAATCTGCTGCAACCATCGCGGCTTCCTACATCGTGTACGCTCTATTCAGTGGCGGTCTCAACGTCGGCACCGAGCTTGGAGGAGGCACCACTATCGCACAAGGCATCGTTATTGAGATGATCTTGACGGCTCAATTGGCGTTCACAATCTTCGTGCTTGCCGCTGAGGAACATGCTGGAACATGCTTGGCTCCGATTGGCATTGGCTTGTCTCTGTTCGTTGGAGAACTCATTGGTATGGTTAATCAATATTCATACATTCTTGGTGTTGATGCTATCTCGCAGGAGCCTTCTGGACTGGTGGTTCCATGAATCCAATTCGCTCGCTGGCTCCTTGCATCGTCAACCGCTCGTTTCCTGAATACCTCTGGATCTACTTCGTTGGACCAATCGCCGGTGTCGTACTTGCAGTCTTGGTGTACAAGCTCGTCGTGGCTTTGGAATACGAGATCGCGGATGATCAGGATCCGATGCCTGAATTGATTCTGCCAATCGTGAGGAACGGACGAAAGCCCTCTTCCATCATTCCAATAGCAAGCGCAGGTCCTCCCACCCCGGAAAAGCAAGTCCAAGAGCCAGCCAAGACTCACAAAAAGTCTGTTAGCTTCGGCAATGGGCAACCTTCTGGAGATATTGAAAACCCGGTCCTTTATGAAAGCCATACGGACTAGTGTCGAGATTCGCGAAGAGATAGGAACACTACCTCTTAATCCTTGCTTCGTTCAGACTCTGACGAGAAAAGCTTTATGGATCATTTCAGAGGTACGGAAAAGATCGCAAAAGGCGGAAGACGCAAATACTCAGAAGCCCTAAGCCAAAGACGATAGTCATTGCGGTACAGACTGTTATTAGCAAAAAGATTTTGGTTGCAGAAGGAAACTGTTCGTGTTCTGCTTTTGTATAACAACTGAACGTGTCTAGTTACTGTTTTAGCATCTCCCTTCTCGCCTCCATCTTCCACATTGAACTGCAGCTTGAAGTAACTCAACGGCTAGAAGACTCTCTTTCTTTTCTCAGAGCTAGCTAGGAGCAGTCTTGGTTCCCGAGGGAGATGGTACTCCGCCTCCTCCTTTTCTACGATTATTTCTTCTTTCTTGCCGTCCTTTCTTGCCATCCATAAGGCCATATTTAAAGCTTGCATGAGAGTCCGGTATAGAAAAAAGCATATCCATACTCCATTCCAAGAGTCGGCACACAGGAACAAGTTATCGATGATCGAATGCGGGAATGGAATGTAACGTATGCTGATCTCACTAACCCAGGTACGGTACGACCTCAGTTGCTGAACGCGAAGTTCATGAATAAGATCCGGGACCCAATGAGAATTACAGTTCGAAGGTTAGCTGCAGCTTAGCCATGTCCTCTCTGGCACTCTCAAGGCAAGTGATGGCAGGGAGTAGAGCCGGCCAGATACTTTGCACACTGAGTAGTGTAGTGAGGGGGCAAGGTGAGGTAGGATTTGGCGTGAGTGACTTGGCGGCCTTGGCCTTCAACCCTCGTCTCCTGTTCGTAGGAATCCTTCTTTATCAAAAGCTTCTTCTGTCACCCTCTCATTCCCACAATATCCCATGAATATCTGCGGCCCCTTGACAAGAATTTCGCCTTTCTCTCCAACCCCCAAGCATCTCTCCTTTCTCATCAACAATCTTCACGCTCGTATTTGCGACCAAAGTCCCTCCCGTTCACGCCTACTTAAAATCGCGGCCCCAAAGCGGATGCGTGGTGATGCACACGGTACCTTCCGTCATCACATACCCTTTCTTGAATCCCCCTCCGTGAAATCTCCTTTCTAATTTTCCAAGCACAGATGGGAAGATCTGCACAGCGCCAGAAGCGAAGCGTTTGTTGCACGAGAGAGGCCGTAGTTTGAGATAAGAGCGGAGTGAGCGAGGTGGATTATGAGGGAGGCACGAGTTGCGGTTCTGCGATTCGGTAATGGGAGATTGTGGAGAGGAGGACCGGGAGAGAATGAGGTGTGTGTGGCAGGAGGATCACGGAGCTGGAGAGGATGAGAGGGAGGGTAGGGAGTTTGACGACGCCGGTTACTGGGTGTTAGGTTAATGGGCGGAGCGTTGTGGGGAGAGGGATGGAAGGGGACGCACTATGGTAGAAGGGGAGTGAACCAAGATTGTGGCGTGGTCCTTTGAAGTTGTAGGGAGGAGCTGGAGGAGTTGGGCGATGATGTTTTGGTGGGATATTATGACCTGCGGTTGTGTCAGATGGATTTGAGGATCCAGGACTGTGGAATCGAAGGACGGCGTACAGCTTTTGGTTGTCCCGCTGCTGAAACATAGTACCGCACACACTTTACTATTCATCTTCCCAGTTGGTAAACTCCACGGTTGAAGTCGTCTGTCCTCCCTTATTCACGTTGCTTCTTCAACCGAGTATTCAACCAAGTCTTCCACACTGGTCACCCTATCCGCCCTCCCCTCAAGTACGAGGATTTCCATTTCCTCAATACCGCATTTTCTAGCGGCTTCTCTCACAACCTTCAAGTTCTCCTGGTAACAAATAACATACTTGGCACCCACAGTCTTGAACGCATGCACCATCTCTTCCTTTCCAAAAGCCGGGGAAGAAAGAGCCGGTAGACATTCAGCTCGCAAGACCCCGAAAAGCGCAACGGGATATCAGATGCTGTTCGGGGTACATATTGAAATTACATCTCCTGGTGCTAACCCGAGGTTGCGGTTAAGGACCGTGCAGAAGTAATGGAGTATTGCTTGACTCGAGAGCAGGTGAGAGAAGTGTTTGCGAGAGAATTGGTGAAGGGTGCTGGTGGTGAGGGTGAGTTGATTGGCTTGAAGTAGGAGGATGGCGTGAAGGGGAAGTCTCAGAGGGGAATGTGTGTTGTAACTGAAGGCGTCAATATTGATTGTGCCGAGGTTGTGGGGCTTTCTTACTGTAAATATCTGGATATGAAGATTTGAAAAACATTGTGAAGAGAGACCCCTTTCAAGAAACTAATAGGATACTATAGCACCAATGACAACGCGCTGTACGATATCCTCCACTAGGCAAACAAAAGAAAGGGGGAAGTCATTGACGTGGGGTCCTTCAACCCGCTTCGGCTATCTCTCTACCCCACTAAAAAGGGGTACCGAGCGTCCCACCTTGGTTGGACGATCATCGCCTCATCTTCCACCGCCTTCAACCTCACCAACCTTTCGTTGCTCATCGCATGCGGATCCCTACTTCCTATTTCCATTCTGCCAGGCACAACGCGAAACCTAAACCTAAACCCGAACCTAAACATTACCTCACACTGGACCAACCAAGCACCGAGCACGAGTCCCCACCACAGCCGCCACATCCCCACCACCGTCGTGGGGCGCTGCGCGTCCTGTGGATAAATATTCATACGCCTTTCTCATACGATATCAGTACACGTGACAGCGTTGTACATAAAAACATCAATTCCGTTGCGATCACGGAGTTCGACCACTGATGGCGAAGTGTGTTTCCCGCGTTTGCAGCACACTTGTCGAGTGCCCCGCATTTTGACATACCGACGATCTTCCGAGTGGCCAACGGCCGCGAGTTGCAGCATATCAACTAGCAGCTGTCAGAATTTGTTAGTTGGGATATAAGTCATGGGAAGGAAGCTAGCTGTACTTGATCTCAAGAATTTCGCTTGAAGAGGTCTCATTCTTCCTCGTTGTTGAAAGTTACTTCCGAATATATATTCAGCTGTGGTTTCCCCGAGAGACCTGGACTTGAGTACCTCCACCTAATTTCAAGATGGATAAGAATTTACGTATTGTGATCGTGGGAGCGGGTAATGCCCCTTTTCGAACAGAAAGACCGTCCAGCTGACACGTGATCAGGGATGGGAGGTCTTGCAACCGCTCTCGCACTAGCAAAGAAAGGCTTCACGGACATCTCAGTCTTCGAGACAGCCTCGAATCTCGGGTTTGTGGGTGCAGGGATCCAACTTGCTCCAAACATGGCCAGAATCCTAGACCGGCTCGGCTGCTGGAAAGACATCGAAGCTGAAGCCGTCGATATCAAAACGACGAGCATCAGACAGGGATCCACGGATGGCGAGCTCGGAAACGTAGACCTTCGATATATTAGAGAAACGTACGGTTACCCCCATATGGTGGGCCACCGCTCCTCCCTAGCAGGCTCCCTCTACGAAGGCTGCAAGAAAGAAAAGGCCATCACTGTGCACTTCTCCACCGCCGCCTTGGGCGTAGAATCCTGGGGTCCAGAGCCAATTTTGAAAGTCCAGCCTCGGAATGGCGAAGCGTATACCGTGGAAGCGGACGTTCTGCTCGCTGCCGACGGCCTGAAGAGCGTGGTTCGAGACCAGATGCTTAAGGACCTGAACATCAATGCCAAAGTCATGGACACCGAGCAGGCGGCGTATCGAATCATGCTTAAGAGGGAAGAGATGGCCCACGATCCGGAACTTCTCGAGTTGATTGATGCGGATCGAGTCATTCGCTGGATTGGCGAGAAGAGACATATCATCGCGTACCCGGTGTCTAATAAGCAGATTTATAATCTCTCTACGACTCAAGTGGATAAGAATTTCGCTTCTGCGCCGTCCGCGACGTATACGACCAAGGGAGACAAGTCTATCATGCTGGCTACTTTCGACGATTTCTGCCCTATGATCCATAGGATGCTGAGCTTGGTTCCCGATGGAGAGGTTTGCGAGTGGAAACTCAGAGTCCACTCCCCGCTTCCGACTTGGGTACACGGTTCAGTAGCCCTCGTTGGCGATTCCTGTCACCCCACGCTTCCTCACTTGGCACAAGGAGCCGCACAAGCAATCGAAGATGCAGCAGTCCTGGGCGTTGTGCTCTCACGCTGTCCGGATTCATCTCCAGAGAGTATCAACAAGGCACTCCAGGTGTATCAGAAAGTGAGAAAAGAGAGAGCAGAGATGTTGGTCGAGCTTGCTGCGGCGTCGGGGCGAGCGCTACATCTTGGAGATGGAGCCGCGAAGGCGGAGAGGGATAAGCAATTCGCCTTGCTTAAGGAGAAGAAAGGCGCGGTGCCCGATAAGTGGGCGGATGCTGATGTTCAGAAGCAGATTTATGGGCATGATTGTATGAAGGTTGCGGAGGAGGGTTTTGATGAGCTTTTTGCGAGTGTTTGATTTGTGTATTGAGCCTCGTATGTTATAACTTCTTCTCCATGCCACCCTGTTCCATTGCTAGCGTCTCTCTGTGATGCAACTCCTGTGCAATCAGGAGCGCCGCGAAGTCGATTGTATAGCCTCGTGCAGAGGCCCTGAAGGGTCATCTGCTCGGACCGGACTGTTTGGAGGGAATTTGTCGGATTCTCCGTCCAGGTCCATCCAAAAGAGGATGTCGTAGTTGAAGTCTGAGATGGTTGAAAATCAAGGAGGGCCGAAAACAGTGACGATACCATCCGTCCCAGCACAGCACCACTGATCTCCCCTCCCATTCTCCTTCCACGCGACACAACTAACCACATTCCTCCCCTCCTTCTCCTTCCCATCCCGCCCAATCTTCTTCTTCGCCTCCCCTTCCCTCCCCTTGATCCTGACCCTCTCCACAACCTTCCCACTTAAAGTATCCCAAACCACCACCTCGCCATCCGCGCCCTTCACCTCCTCATTCCCACAAACAACCCATCTCTCATTCCCTCCAAACGCACTCCTGCACCTAAACTCATCATTCCTGAACCCCTCCCCCCTATACGCCCTCAACAGTCCGCCGCCATCCCTATCCATCAACCTAACACAACTATCCAAACTCCCCACCAAGACCCCCTTCCCATCCCTCGTCCGCTTCAAACTCGTAACCGGCGCCCCAATAACATCAGTCTCCAGCCTACCCGCCCTAACATCATAACACCTAACCCTCCCATCCACACTCCCACTGAAAACCTCATACCCGCCCTCTCCAACAAGCACCGCACTGACGCTATCCCTCGCATCGCTCAACACCATAATCGGCTTCCCGGACTGACTCCTAACATCCCACATCCGCACCGACGCGTCGAAGCTCCCGCTGATCAACACGGACTCTCCCGCGCCGCCGTAGCACACGCAGTTGATGCGGGCCGCGTGGCCCTGGGCGCCGCCGAAGCGGCGCGTCGTCTGCGCCGTCGCCACGTCCCAGAGGAAGACGGCGCGGTCGCCGCCGACGCTGGCGAACGCCGCGTTGTCGCTGGAGACGCACAGGTCGAGGATTTCGTAGCCGTGCGCGGTGTAGGTCTGGATGAGCTGGGTTGGCGTGGGGGGCGCGAGGGGGTTGGTTGGGCCAGCGGCGGGCCGGGATGGGTTGTAGAGGCGGATGGAACGGTCGGAGGAGCCGGTTAGGATGTAGGTTGAGGGGGTGGAGGAGTAGGTTAGGGCGTGGACTGGGCCTTCGAGGGGGAGTGTTAGTTTGATGTTTTGGATGAGGGGTGAGGGTGAGGAGGGACGAGGAGGGGAGGTACCGTTTGAGCCCAGGAGTTGGGTCAATGGCTTGGATGGGAAGGCCATTGTTGTCGCGAAAGGGTCATCTTCCTATCATTATTGCCGTTGTGTTGTAAACTCACGGTCTTGGATCCTGAATCTTGACCTCATCTTCAACATCAAAAGTCCAAGGTTGAAGTTCAAAGGCGGTGGCAGAAAATTCTCAATTCATACTAGCTCCCTTGTTGGCGAAGATCCCATAATTCGGCTAAGTCAAGGGGTGACTTGGTTCCCAATACCCATGACTAACCACAAACAGTAACGTTGCCGACAAGATGTCACCCCTAAACAAGTCCCCCTTAGCCCTTAACTAACACATCTAGACTCCCTCCCCCTCATCTCCAGATATCCAAAAAGGTCCAGGATCAGCTTCATCCCGGTAGTTGATTCTCGTCGGGACGGAGCTAACCTTAACAGCGCTACAGTAAAGTAAAGTAAAGTAAGTTTGAAATGTCTAACTCGGGATGTGGTCGGGAACCCTGTTTGTGCCCGACGGAAGCGGCCTGAAAAAAAGTGTAAAACAAAAGCCGCCCAGCCAAAGATGATTTTTTGGGTTTGAGACATGGTTTTTGGGTTCACCTTCGGCCCGGGATTTTGGCCGAGATGGGCTGGTGGGGATACGGAGTGGAATTAATGGCGCTTCCTCGCTCATGTAACGAATGAGAGGGGGAGATGGAAGGGGGAAAGGGCCGCGGGAGCTGCACGTGACGTGGGTGGGGTAAAGGGGGGTCTTTGTTGGGTGGGATGGGGTGGGGTTTGTTCTGTGAGGGGGTCATTGGATGTGTTCGTGTTTGGTTTTGTTGAGGTGAGGTTTTGGTTATCAGATTCTCGGAATCGTTTGCTTCTGTTTGCTCGTTGCTCAAGATGCCAAAACGTGGGGAGGTACAAAATTGGGCTTTGAACATGATTTTCTGATTGGTGGTATCGTATCCGCTTGTGGAGAGAAACTCTGCTGATCGGAGAGTGGAAGATCGGATGTGTTCTCGGAACTCTGATCTACTGTTACGAAACAGCGCCGGCAATCGATAGACGCGGAAGAACTCTTCCTGATGTTCATCACTTGACGATGACGGTGATGACGATACTATCGAGTCAGATGAGGATAATGAAAATGATGGGGAGTAAAAACATTATGATTTTGGGATTTTGGGTGCTATGTGCAAGTGTGAAGCCCGCTATGTAGCTTTTGGCACAGGCCTGATATGGTACAAAATGGTGGAGATCTCTATTTCCCAAATGTACACTGAACGCCGTGAGGTATCATCGGTCCCAGATTTCCATATCCCATCATTGAATCGTAATATCCAACCCTTCCACGCTATTCTTACGCCAAAAATGAAGTCTTGAAAGGCATATGTAAATGAGGAAATGGCGTTTAAGCGTAAAGGCAATCGTGATCCTTCGCAAACGTCTTCTCAATCGCCTCCCGCATTTCGAATATCCCTTCCCCGGTACTCTCCCTCATCACAGCGCCCATAGCCCCAAACTTGAACCCGACAGCCCCTGCTTCGCCGGCATCGTCTCGTCCAGCGGCCAGCTCGGCCAAGTCTCTGATGCGTTGGATGACCAATGATTGTTGCTTCTTGGCGCTTTGCCAGAAGGGTGCGAGTTCGGCGAGGATGGTTTGCGCCCCGCTGAAGGAGGCGAGGCGGGTGGAGATGGAAGAGATGGGGATTTTGGCGGTCAAAATGTCGATAGCTGAGACGATTGAATAGCCGACGAAGGGATAGGAGAATTTGGGGGGCATGTCGGTCAGGCTGGTTGGACTCGAGGGAACTGGAGAGCGACGAGATGCGAGGGTGTCAATGACCACTAAGAGAGATTCGGCGTGGTGTTGTGCCAAGGAGATGTGGTGTTGGAGTTGCGGTCTAGAGAGAACAGAATGCTGGATGTGGCGGTTAAGCTTCATGGCTGTTGTGTGATACACTGTGTGCATGGTCATGAACGTCCCAAGATTTCCGGAGCGCGCTGCTCTCAAGAGATTATCTGCTGTGAAGAGGTAGCAGCTGGGTAGGGAGTCATTCCACGCTCGCAAACGCTGGTTGATGTTCTCGTAGAAAGAGGCGAATGCAGAATTAGAAGTCGCCGGCGTTAGTCGTTGTGAAGAGCGATAAATCTGTGTCATAACATCGCTCCAAATTGAAGAGACATTAATGAGATAAGCCATGGATCCAATCGTCCAGTTCGCACTGTGAATAGCGGGGTTGGCGATGTCGAAATATGGGTTCTGGACGTCTGCCTGCGACTCAAAGCTCTTGGTATCGCAAGGGAGTCGCAGGAAAACATCTTCGGGATGAATGACGCTCAAATGCCTAGAACAGAAGCTGCTGAATCGATCCAACAAGTAGCAACTCCAGAACGTCCTCCTTCTGCACTCAGCATACCCAGTGCGATTCAGTCCATATGGATAGGCCTTGAGGAAATGATCATCGCTCTTCTCAATCTCTAAATTAAGCCTCAGGCCGTTCGCTGCTCGCAACGCTCCACCGCAAAAATCCCAGGCGTCGTTCGGGTTGTTGGTTGCGAAATAGTAGAGAGACAGAAGGAGTCGAGACTGGACGAGCTGAATGCTGAAGTCGCGGTTATCGCAGGCGTATCGGGAGATCGCAGCGTACTGGACACCAAGTGGTCGGTGCCCTGGATTGAAGGAGAAGACAGCTCCGAGAGCCAGGATGGTGTAAATCAACATCAAGTCATTGGCAGACTTCTCACTGGCTGACAATACCCACGACTTGAAAGGTTCCGGCGGGAACATACAGTGAGCTGTCTCGGGAACATGTTTGAAGAATACGGAGATGAGGTCGGCGACGAGAGCAGGGTGAGCACTATAAGGATTCGTGTGCCATTCCCGCAGTAAACTGTTGTGATCAATGAGGCCAGTGCCTGAAGTTTCCATCCAAGGGGTCGATGGGGAGTGAATTTCGTGAACTGACGGTCGCGGAGACGCTTCTGAAGCGACCGGTGTGAAGTCATTGTAGCCATTTCGCTGACGTTTTGCATGATGAGTATCGGACTCTGGAGTTACCTGTCGGAGTGGCTGCCGAGGAGAAACAGAATGGCTGCTCTCACGCTTCTCTCCTTTGAAAGATTCAGCATCAGCTCGCGATGAGACTGGGCGGGAAACGCTGTCTTCTGGATCGGCTGGAGGTGTATCGGGTGATCCTTGGCCACCTCGAGGACTGTATAACATAGTCAGTATGATAATCTTCGAGACACAGATTCTGTCGCAACGACTCTGGCAACAGGAATGTGCTTGGGCTCATGAAAGGCACGTACGCGTTCTTGAATTTGCATATCCTCCCAAACTTCTCGCACTGCACGCAACGTGGATAGTCTGGGTCGCATTTGATCTTCTTCTCTCGGCAAGTGATGCAAGCAATAGCAAGTCGCTTTCTTGGTTTCCCAGCCTTTGTCACACCCCAGTGGGCATTGACGATCTCGCCATCGATCACAGTCTTGCAGTGGGTTCCATCATCATAAAAATAACACAATCCTTCTCCTGGTACCTCAGCCTGTCGAACAAATCGTGGCAAGAATTGCGTTCCAGTCCAAATCTTTGGACCCAGTCCATCCTTCGTGGAGTTCGCATCACCCGCAACTGTGCTGGCAGGTGTTGGTGGGTAACTTGGGGTCACAGGGGCGCTGTGAGGTGCTTCGCGGTAGGCTGCTCTTGGGTCTGACTCGAGTCTATGGGGAGGAGGGGGTGGATGGTGATGGTCAGCGTGAGCTCGAAACGAGGAAGATGTGTCTCTGGCTAGAAATTCGGATGAGGGCCTTGATTGTGATTGTGAATGGTGTGGCCATCCGTTCACGGGTCCGGGTCCTTGAGTCCTCGTGCCGTCAACACCATACCGCGAGTCGTATCGAGGTGATTCGGGTCTAGGTCCTGTCTGTGTTGGTCGAGGGGGAGGTGGAATACCAAGTCTTTCAACTTGTTCAGGTCTTGATCCATACGAATGTCGAGATAATGGTGGTCGTTGGAAGTAAGAATTTTCAAAGGGTCGGTCAGGGTGTACAGGTGTTGCTGGGTGTCGACTATCTCGAGGAGACCCCGCTGGGAAAGAGGGGCTATGGCCATCGGAATATGGTGATTGAGCCGGTCGATTTTGAGGTGGTGCTGAACCAAACAGGCTGCTCAAGGGAGGTAGCTGCTCACGGGGTGGTTTGTAACTGAGCTCTGGCCGTGTTTGATACATATCTCCAACTTCTGGTACTGGAACTTCATAGAGTCCTTTCGCGGTGTCCAACATTGGGGAACGAGGCTGCGTCAATTTCCAACCATTCCCCTCGTACTGCTTCTCTGAATGTTTCTCAGGACGTCGAAGCTCTCTTGGAGTATAATGGTCTCGACTTTTGTCGTGAGAAGAAGAAGGCCTTTCATGCAACGGAGAAATGAACGTCCCGGAGTAGATCTGGGTCATAGTCTGCGCTGGTTGGCCTATCAAGGTAGCCTGGGCCGTCCTCCTACATCAAATATTGGAATCTCTTTCGGATAGAGGTATCTCTGTGGCACGGCTCGTCTTTGTTGCCAGCGGACTCGTTCAGGAAGGATGAATATCCTTTTACGGGCCGGTTGAATTCAACGCACTTCCAGCCAGAAGAAGGCAGACAGCTTTGTTTTCAAGCGGCAGTCGTAACGGAGTGCCGTCTGTCCCGATTCGCGCGGTAGTGCCGGTGGGGGCTGGCGGTATGGCTGCTGAGAGGTCGCACCCCGAACGCCTCCCTTTAAAGGTGGTGGTGGGTCAAGCGGGAATCGCGTCGAGAGGTGACAGATACAACGGGAGGTGTCCAACTCATGTATCTGCAATGGAAGAACGCCTGTCGGTACTGATAGAAATTGGATCTGTGGCTCATGCAGTGACCAAGACTTTGGCCATACCCATTCTTCTGGAAACGGCAGCTCGCGCAAGTCCGAATTTTGTAAAAGGCTGGGGGGGTAAGTTAGTAGCGCAGGCGTCACTGACGGATAGATCCAAGGATGAGGAACCTGGCTCGTGCAGAAGTAGTTCGATGCAACGTGCGGGATATGTAGCAGGGGAATGTTTGGGACGGGGAGGTATTGGCCTGTGGGAGAAGTAGCTCTGGTTTGTAGGAAAGAGAAAGGTAACCTTAGTCTTCAAGCCCCCTCCAGACCTAGCTAGGCCCAACAGCCAGCTACTTTGGCTGATGTGAGTGAGGCGCAAGCAGTGAGATGATAAGTTCCGGCTCTAACTCAGGCCAGCCGAGCGCCCAACCCAGATAGACGGGACAAAGCCTTATCTGGATCTGTGGATATGTGGATATTTGCATATTTGGATATTTGCATTTCTGGATATTCGCTGAATATTCCTCGGAGAGGTGGTCTATCCCTAAAGGGGGCAGATAATTTGCTCATGGAGCACGACTCAGGCGAGTGGCGGCCATGGCTGCGCTTCGATCCAGCCGCCCTCGTGGACGAGTCGTCTCACACACACCGGGACTACGGAGTAAACGGCGGGTTCAGCAAGAGGAAGGGGCTCAGCGCGAGCCCAGCGCGAGTCTTGGGGGGAGGGGAGGGAGGGAGGGAGGGCGCGGAGGGCCAGGCGATCCTGCTGCCCTGGCCCACGGTCCACGGTCCACAGTCCACTTGGACTTGAACTTGTGGGGTAAAAGGAGGTGGCGCCTACGGCGATCGAAGCCATGCGCTCCATGCGCCGTCAGTGGCCGGAAGTGGGCCAAATCCATGAACCACCCATGATGCATCGGTGCAAGATCACGCACCGCGCTCCGAACTCCTGCCTGGCAGGGCAAGAGCCGGAGAACGTGGTGCGTATTTTAATGCGCCAATATCGCTCAGGATCACAAATATGGCCATGGTCGTAAATTTAGTTGGGCCTGCTCGGCAACGCTTGTCTCAACACGGGCAGCCTGTGGAGGAGGAGTGAGATGGAGGAGGAGTGTGATGGAGGAGGAGTGAAGATGGAGATGGAGATGGAGCCTCGGGGAGTGATTTCGCGCTGGAGGGTGGGCATGGGCGTGGTGGGAGTGTTGCAGCTGCGGCCGCACACAGTTTTCCTGTGCTGTACGGAGTACGGAGTACCTCCGTAATAAGTTGGCAATTATGCTGGTCTGGCATGGCACAGCATGGGATGATAGCATGGCATAGCATGGCAGAGCATGGCAGAGCATGGTGCCCCCTGCCCCCCGGGAGGAAGCGTGATGCCACACATCCCAGCCGAACATGTCCCCGTTTCCCAGTAGCCGGAATCGGGAAACTCCACCGGGGCGACGGTCATAGCAGACGGCCGCTATAGACAGGTAATTGCATCGTAAATTTACTGCACTGCACTGTACTGCACTGTACTGTACTGTACTCCGTAGCCCCTCCCAACCTCCCAAGAAGGCTCCGTCGCCCTCGATTCAGCATTCAGCCCACACCGAAACGGCCTGCTGCGATCATGGGTTCGCGTCTCGGGATGGCTGCTGCCACCCCCCCTCCCCCCTCCCCCTCTCCCTCTCCCTCTCCCCTCCTCGCCCAAGGCCCCCCGAGAAAAAAAAAAGGCTTTCCTCTTGGCTACTACTCTCGTGGCCCTGGAAACCCGGCTGGAGCATGGGCTCACTGATTATTAGTTTGTTCCCACATCTCCGGGTCGCTTGTCGCGTGGATTACGAGAAAGAGGTTACTCTCCCTTGCGGTGGAACTTCTTGCCGAGAAACAGGACACCGCAGTCTGCAGAAGCCATCATTATTACCCGGCCACCTGTTTTTACACTTACTTGATGAGCGCCCACTTCTTGCTCATCTCTGCGGCGTCAGGTTGCACAGTCACAGTGGCTGACAGCCTGTACGGTACTGTCCGATATGACATGTCGGTGACGGGCATCAGGCTCGCGCTCGCATTGCATTGCGTTGCCTTACGAATATAACCGTGGTAGCGAGGCTCCGAGGTATTTTTGGGCCCAAGTCATGGTGATCATCAAGGGCCCCTCACCTGGATAACCCTACATCCGACATCTACGTCCACCCACCACACTCGACAAGGCTCTACCTATACAACACACTTCACTGGCCACAGCTACGACATACGGATGGACTCCTTCGATTCTTGACGGCCGGAGCTACAACTGCCAGCTGCCAGCTGCCGTTCGAGCCATGGATGCCGTGGTAACGTTTCGCTGGTGCGTTCCGCCCTGTGGAGCGACGTGTATGCAAGTGATGGGAATCCCACCAAGCTGGATTCGGCACTTGTCCCGATGCGACTAAGCCAAGCAAAGCCTAACGCAGGTGTGCTCCCACTGCTTCTGGCGCTTCCTTCGCGATGTAGATCTTGACAGAGCGTTCCAAACTTCCAGCCAGACTTCTGCAACTTACTCGTAGCTCCCGGAGGATCATTGCACAACGAGGGAAGCTCGCGGCCAGCTTTCTGTCACGAACCCACGGCATCGGATACGGAACTGCGAACCCGGCCCAGGGGGAGAGAGAGAGGGAGAGAGAGAGAAAGAGAGAGAGAAGGGCCCATTGTGCGGGTTCGTGTGCACTGTGCGACACCCCACCGTTCACGGGAGACGTTCTGCTTTTCCCAATCTCGGCCGCGGGGTGCGGAGGGCGTATCAATGTGTCAAACGGCGTGAGGGGCTGTTGATAAGACGGGGGTAGGAATATTGATGTGGCGGAGACGGCGTCTGGCGAAGAAGGCTTGGAAGTTGGAGGGAGAGGCAGGTTTCAGTGTCCCACCACTCGCCCGGCCTCCTGGTCTTCACCACCAAGATTGGCGAACAAACATCAGATGATGGGCTGCGGCGCGTTGAAGATGGCATGCAGCCTGCAGGACGTTCCAGTTACAAGCTTGAAGCTTGAAGCTAGAAAAGTATCTTTCTTTCTTGCCAGCGCCTGGGTCAGACACTTGTCGTGATGAGCTCTCACTTCGGCACTACTCGCCTGCGGAAACCTCCATTCTGGCTCTCAGAATGAAGAAATTCGACCCCAGAACCAACAACTTACTGCCCAAAACCGGACCGGCTTGCATATCTCCAAACAATGCCGCGGACGGGCCGTGGCATGCGGGGGCATGTCGCAAGTCTCTCCGGATCCAGGCCACGACGACCTCACGATGTACCGTCCGTGGTGCTGAATCAATGAATAATCGAGTCTCGATGGTGGGGAGGAGCAACGGAATTGTTCAACCGTCGCGGCAATCGAGAGACAGGTCTCAGTTTCTCAAATAATCCATGTGCCGTTCACACGATCAGAAAATACCGAGCAGGGATGTTTCTCAGTCCCGATTCTTCTGGGTCCCCGATTGTGCCACGCCGCTGCAGGAACAAGCGCCAGAGGCGTGGCCCGCATGGACAGGCTCCTCAGGTAAATTATGGGGTGGGGGGAGCTCGGGACAGCTCGGCGATGTCGCCAAGCGTTCCACGAACTCGATACAGTGACTCCAGAGTCCAGCAGGATGCCGTCGGAGCAATGTGCCGAAGAGTCCGCGAGACGTGCTGTACAGTACATTGGATTACCATCTCGCCAGGAAACGCAGGTCGAACTACTGTAATACCGTAGCTCACGAGTCACGACGACTCGTGGGCGTGCATGGCTGGTACTAGGCAGTCGACTCGACCAGACTACTCGAGTCCAAACCTACGAGTCAACAACAGTTGATGGGCGTGCAACAGAAGTCTCTTCCCCACCCCATGGTTGTCATCGGATTTCCCCCCGAGCCCCTGCCCTGAAGCCCAGGGTCTTCCCTCCTCCTCAAAATGCTTCGTGGCCCGTTTCCCCTCATCCCTCTTGGGACTTCGGCGATCAAAGTCTCTGCCGGCGCCTCCTTCAAAATGCCCAACATGGGACGGAGAAGTCAAAACAGCGAATCATGCTAGCGCAAACCACAGGAAAATTGCAAGCGCTGCAACACGCCCGAAAGGTGCATGGACCAGCATTTGGATCCTGCTGCGGGCCTGGGGAGCGCCCTCAGATCCCTGGCGCTGCACACCAGCGTCACCAGGCGCTGCCATTTCTCGGGATTAGGACCCCTCCCACCGGACCAGAGACAGGAATTCATGCTACCGATCAAAGTTCGGACAAAGGTTAAAGAACCCGGGCAACAGGAGCCCTCAGATCCCCCCCTGGAATCCATCGTGATTGGTTAGATTACGATCTCTCACTTCTGCCGGGATCACCAACAAGCTGCACGAAATGCTAAGAATAGACGGCCACGTTGTACATCAGATTACAACGTATTTCATACCGGTAACTGGGTAAACTAGATGAGGAGGGGGATCAGTGCAACACCCGTGTGCCGAAGGGGGGTCAAGCAAGAGCAATACCGATAATAGGAGCTCCGTATTGCAAGATTGCTTGCCGGAGCACACGCCGAAACTGCAATCACGGGAGCCTTTTCGCACGAGGGGCATCACGCTGCTTGTCAAAAATTCAAATTTGTCTTTGAGGGAGAGGGAGGTCAGGCCCCATCGTCCCCAAAGCGTCCACCTTTCTTACGTCCGTAAGAAAGGGGCACCAAGTGCTCCACCCTCAATCCACAACCTGAAACTAGTTAGTTTCCAAAGTCTGAGGCACAGACAAGAAGCGTCGAAGCTTCCAATTGGCTATGTCTCGCCTAAAATTCCCGTAAGAAGAAGGAGAATCGTTGATCCACGCTTTGTAGCGTTGCTCCTTGTAACCTTGTTACTAGTGTTGGTGCGCGAGCCACAGGCCCAAAGCCCCAGTCTTCGGCTTACTAGATTAGAGATTGCAGAGCACTACCGAGAGAGGGGGTGCGGATATGCCGTGATTCGTGGGAACAGCGTCATCAGCCCGCTGAGGCCACACGATCACGCCAGGCCGGATCCGGCAGTTCAAACGGAGGTCTGGCCCCGAATTGGGGGGGGGGGGGCCAGCTCTGCCTCAGGGCTGCCAGTGTGCCACATCCAGACGACGTGCTCATCCGCCAGCGATATTGAAGTTCAACTGGAAGGGCATGAAGAGGCTGAAGTGATTTGCTTGCCGTTGAGCTGCCGGTGTTGAAAATACGAGCTCCAGTTCAAGCTGAGTGCAGCACGAGGTGAAGCAAAGGGCCGATGGGCGCGATGCAAAAAGTCGAAGGGGCTGGATGCACTGACTGCGTGCATGCATAGCGGAGCAGCACCCCGTCTCCTGCTGGCTGTCTCCTGAACACGCAACCACCAAAGCAAATCCACTCCTGTCTCATGCCCAAAAGAGCAAATGCGTCTGCTTGCCTCCGGCTGGGAAGTCCCAAGGATTTGGGTTTATTATTTATCCGTCCACACGAGACGTGTTATTGCTGCTCTTGCCTCAAGCTTTGCCAGCTTTGCCAGCTTTGTGCCTGATCGTTGCAAGTGGACGAGAGCAGCTCCCCTGTGCCGGGGCCCGGGGGTCGCCATCGGCCGCGCTTCACCTCTTCTGTCCTGACTCTTCAGACGAAGCCCTCGTCCGTGCTGGCCCTGTTGCGGGCGGGCTGGGCATGGGAATTCCAGGTAGAGCCCGCAGGGTGGAGCCGCTGGGGAATGGAGCCGCTGGAGAGCGCGGGAAGACATGCCGAGAGGAAGTCTGGCTCCCGAGCTGACAGCCCCCCGGCCCCCAGGCCCCCCTGCCCGGCCCGCAACCCCCCTGGTGCTGTCGTGGGACGGTGGGAACGCACGACGAACACCACATGGCTTTCTCGATCGTAGCGCCATTATCCCCCCCAGGGCCCCAACCGACCGCGATGCTTTCCGGGTTCGCGACTCCAACCCAAATTGCGGGCGGCACAGTTTGGCCGGGTAGGGAGGACAGGGGCGGACGGCGCCGATCATACGGAGCGGTACACCGACACACCCCCCAAACGGCCCCTTTCCTTCCTTTTGAGTGGCTTTACTCTTCGTCAGCGGGCCAGCTAGTTGTGGCTGCCAAATTCGCAAGCTCTGCCATTTCCAGTTTCTCGCCTGTACGCGCCGTCCATACGATATTCCAAATTTCAACTGCGGCACTTGAATGACGCCGCAGTCTATTTGACATTGAGGTCCGCTGCACAGGGTAACTCTTTATTGATTCTGGCGCGAAAGCCGGAGTGATAAATTTTAAATGCCACATTTTCCAACGTTTGTTTTTTGTGGGACCAGTCCGGACCTCAGCCCTTTCAGAACAGCCGTTGAGCACGGGAGAAAGCTTGGCCTGTATTGTAGGCTCAGGCCTCGAACTGAGCGGTACATGGCCTTTCCCCCCGAGTCCCCGACACATGACGACTGTTGGGCGTTCCACGACACCCACTTTTCCTTTCATCCGTTCTAGAAACCAGAGCAATATACTCCGTAAGGACAGCGCCCC